AAAACTTTTTTCCTTTTTTTTTTTCCTTGCAAAAATGCCATGAAATAGTAAAAACTTTTCATGTAAACAAATTTATTACAAAGTACAAATTGTACTTCGGGTCCGTTGCTACTATGCTCTCAGTGAGGAATATACAAATTTTACCGATAAATTTATTAGTAAAACCTACTAATAGCATCCAAAACATCAGAGGTGGGATCAGGTGCCATGGAGGAGTGAGCATCCCCTGCCGACCGGTCACACCCCCGTGTGCTCCTTGTCATGATCGGGAAATAACGGAAAAATCCGTCGACAATTCAGTGTGTAAATAATGGCATAACAATTAGTATGAAAAACGTCAGTCAGCATTTGACTCAATAATAAATTGTATTTGCTGGCAAGGTCATTGTATCGACCATAGAACTTACGAAATGATGACTTTAAACGAGACTGCTGATATTCTTGTTTCATCAACTTGTTTGTCAATAATTTACCTCGTTTTAGAATTTGTACATACGTAGAGCATGCTCTTGCGTATCAAATCAACTGAGAAATATAAACCCCGTATGCAGGTGATGAAGGTATATTGCTGCATAAGTTAGGGAAGTTGACGATTGAAAAGTTATCACGTTTATCATAAAGCTTGGTTGTTAGATTACCATTAACGTCTTTTTCAAGTAAAATATCCAGATATGAAACAGATCGATGTGTAAGACTCTGTAGTATCTTTTATCTCAAGCTCACCGGGATATATAGTATCGACATAAGAATGGAAATAACCATTGTTAATTGACAATACGTCGTCGATATATCTAAATGCCGAGTTGAAGGCCACAGCAAGTGTTTTCTTCTTTTCACGTATAAGATTTTGGACAAATTCTGCTTCATATGAATACAAAAAAGGTCTGCTAATAACGGGGCGCAACTGGTTCCCATGGGAATTCCAATAGATTGTTGGAAGACCTGGTCTCCAAAAACCACATAGATATTGTCAATCAGAAACTCGAGCATCTTTTTAATGTCAACTTCAGAGTACTTGTGTGTACAATCAGAATGTTTTTAACAAAATAATTTTGCAAATGACCAATGACAAGGTTAGTAAATTTACGAGTTCCATGTTTATTGAAAAAGCAGCTGTCAATGATATCAAAAAGCCTGGATTTTAATTTATCGTGGGGAATGTTTGTGTATAAAGTTGAAAAGTCGTAAGTTTTTAAGCTGTTGATTTTGGTAAAATCTTGTGATTTCAAATTTTCCAAAAGTTCCTTGGAAATTTTAAGTATCCACGTCTGATTTACACCACTTCTCGAATATATTGTTGCACAGTACTCTTGAAGTTTCCCCTTCACTACTGTTAATATCTTAGTGAGGAGTAAAGAAAGAGGCTTGGTTGAACATTTACTGGAATCCACTATGTATCTTTGTTTGTAAGGATTTTTATGAAGTTTCGGAATCCAATATAGATATGGTAATTCAAATTCATTTTGGTTGTTTGGAATATTAAAAATATTCAAAACTGACATGTGATTTTGAAGAATTTCTTCCTTAGAAAGAGAACTATGAGTATAAGTTGGATTACCACTTGTAGAATTAAATCCAAGTTCCTCTAAAATACATTTAATATAATGAGCCTCACAAACAAAGACAATGTTGTTACTTGCTTTGTCAGCAGGGACCAGTACATACTGATCATGTAATCTATCTAATTCTTTTTTCACTTCTGGATTATTGAATACAGAAAGATAGATGGTTCCCATATTGCCCCTCAATCTTTCAATGCGCTATTTTAACATACATCTGATACATTTAATCCATTCTGACAAAGTGTCAAGGTCTTCTTTTTCATGTCTGGCCCATCGCCTGGCGTAATCCTCTACATAACCCATAATATTTATGAAATTCCGACGCCAGTTGAAGGATCGAGGTTCCCTATATTTAGGACCTTTTAAAATTAGTGATCTAAGGTCCTCATTATTAACTATATTTACGTCACCAGTAATAACGTGTTCAGTAGGAGTTATAGGGTGAAGAAGAACATGAACACGATGGAGGATTATGTTTAAGATATTCGATATCCAAGCACTGTAAAGTTTTCTTGTAATTAAAACGTTTGGAGCAATAGTCGATGTATATTTGTAGGAAATACATGTACAAGGTGTAGTCTTTAACTTGAAATATGGTGGAATACAAGACTGGATCCTTTTGTGATTAAGAATATTACTTATATTAACCGCGTCAATTTCTTTGTTGGCATATTGAAGTTTAAGGAAAAAACGGACTGTTTTAGCTGCTTCTTCTTCAGTAAAACGTGGGGGTTTAAAAAGCCTATGATTTGCAATATCCATAATCACAGATCCGAGCCTATATTCTGGTGTCGAGGAATAAAAAAAATGGACTTTCCTTGACCTTTTCAAGAAGACTATGTAAAAGTTTCAAAGGGACAGAGTAAAGTTTGGTGCGAATATGATGCAGACCTAACTGTTGATTTACGTAATGAATCAAAAGAGACATCGTATATTAAAGGTTTATTGTAAGACCGATGTCCATGACTACGCTTACGTCTCTGTGTATGGTTAAAAAGTCCCATCACATTTACATTGTTACACTGTGGACTGGAAAGATTTCCAACACTTTCGACATTGTCATTACATCCATAGGGAAAGGCTGTCCCTAGTTTTCTAATCCAAAATTATTCTCGTTGTCTACGGAAAGGTGTACCGCGAAGCGGTTTATAAAAAAGCGTAAACTGTCCCAAGTTATGTTATATCGTATAACATAGGTTAAAATAAGCTTTTTTTGTTTGTTTGTTGTTTAACGTCCATCTCGAGAATTTTTCACTCATATGGAGACGCCACCACTTGCCGGTGGAGAGCTGCAAATTTTGTCCTATGCTCGGCACTTACGGCCATTGAGCAGTGAGGGGTCTTTTTCGTGCCAACACCTACTGCGACACGGGACCTCGGTTTATACGGTCTCATCCGAACGACCGGTCTCCACGTCCCACAGTGGGATTCGAACCCGCGACGTAAGGATCAACTCCTTACCTCGCGACTCTAGAACAGACGCTCTAACCACTGCGCCACGCGGGCGACTTTAAAATAAGCTTCATAACTTATAATTTAATTTCAGTGTAGACAATGAGACATTTTTCCTCCAATAATGGCTTCAAATTGAGCATATTTTAAAAGTAACGTCGAGCGGAGTAATACGTTTTTGACTTAACTCATTGTGACGTAGGCAACTTATGTTATATGGTATAAACGAAATCTTTTATCCAATCAAATGACGTGTTACAACTAAAATTAAATTATTTTGATTTAATAATGAATTCCTTTGTAGCAACTTGGATTAATTTCTACCTATGAGAATAACTTTTAACTTTACAAACTACTTATTTCCTCAAATAGAAAAAGGAACGAGCTTTATATTTTTAATGTTTTTTTTTAAATATATATATATTCTCTTGTCGATGATTTTAATCTATACACAATTGTTATGGAGAGAAGGAGTCTACGTTATACATGTAGTTATCAAACATCCTCAAATCACATTATGTGCCTACCAATTAAATGGGAATATTTTAACTGAAAACCTTGCATAAAGACATGTTCCTTGTATACTTTTTTTTTTACTTTTAGAAGATATTATCCTTATACACCACATGAGACTTCGAACAGTTGTTTTGACCCCAAACCGTTTTCTAAAATGAAAAGATATGAAACTTTTCAAGATATTTTTTTGTATTATCTCACAGTTCATTTTGTTTAATGGTCCGGTGTCAGTTTTTGTTTAGTATCATATCACAGAATTTAGCGAAAGTATATATATACAAGTTACATTTCAGCTTTTAGAAAAGTATCATAAATGGATTGCTCATGATTCATCTGCTTAAAAAAATATCCATTTCACAATATATATATATATATATATATATATATATATATATATATATATATATATATATATATATATATATATATATATATATATATATATATATATATCCAAAATTGAAATAAAGTCTCAGTAATCGGATTACAATATTAAACAAATATAAAAAGAAAACACAAGAATCCTCCGTAAAGCTTTAGCGCTTTCATTAAAAATCTTCAGAAGCTTTACATTATATATACTTATATATATATAATCTTTATATATATATATATATATATATATATATATATATATATATATATATATATATATATATATATATATATATATATATATATATATATATATATATATATAAGCTTTACATTATATATACTTATATATTATAAGTATTATATAGTATTATTATATATTATATATACTTATATATATATATGTAATCCGTATCTGTAACTTCATTTTTGGAAATGATATAGAGTTGCCTAAATAAAAATCGCTAAATTTAAAACTTTTTGTTTTCACTTAGTTACACCACAGGTATGATCATTAAAGTATCGTACGTGATGCCTTAGATGGATATGTGGTTTATCTGTGAAGATACTCATTCATTTGTCAATATTTGATAAAGGCATTTACTTGTGTACTTTAAATATTATTTTTCGCTGATTAAGAAAATATTACATGTACAATAACAATTCATTCCAAGATTCACCGATGTTGACTTTTTATGCGAGTTGTCCTTCTTTACTTACGATCAGATAGACGGCTATCAACAACAAGGAATATGACTTTCTCTTTTAGCAAGGTGGGTCTTGTAGTTTTATTAAGTTTTTTTTTACTTAAGTAAAATAACTTATGTAATGGAAGGTCAGAATCACACTTGATGACCGATGTGGACATTTATTTTTTTCCAGTACATTGTTGATGGAAAAAAATATTTTTGTTTTTTTAACATAACAATACATGTTTTCATTGTTAGAATCTAACTCCAATGTTCTCTCTACACTTCAGGATATTTTTTTTCTTTGGGTTGACTTAACATTAAAATTGGAACTATCTGATTATTTAATTAAATACCTACAAAATAAAACGAAAGTAGACTGAACTATATTTTATAATCCAGGTGTTATGACAGTATGGCTTCTTCCTCCATTTCAAAGTTGAACACCCCGTCAAAGCCCCAGCACTTGTTCGTTGCAGCTATTGACTTTGGGACGACATACTCGGGGTATGCGTTCTCTTCAACGGCTGAATGGGAGAAGGTACATACAAATAGATGGAGGGGAGATAAATTAACGTCTCCTAAAGCCCCAACAGTTGTTCTCTTAAACCCAGACCAATCCTTCAACTCATTCGGATACACTGCAGAGAAAGCCTATAGTGAACTTGTCAACGAAGGACCAGAAGATCCAGAAAAACCAACATACAAGGATTATTATTATTTTCAGAACTTTAAAATGAAGCTTCACAATACAAAAGTAAGTTCTTGATTCTAACCATTGAATAAATATTGAAGCCCCTTAAGTGAGAAGAAAAATTTTTTAACATGCAATAATTATGTATACCCTTTTACCTTCGTATAATGAAATATGGAGATAACGAACAGTAATCAAGCTCAAAAGTCCATTGAAACAACACAAACCGGGAGCAGAGCAGACACTGACCCCCCCCCCCCCCCCACACACACACACACACCAGAGGCAGGATCAGGTGACATGGAGTGTATTAGCATCCTCTGTCGACCGGTCACTCCCGCCGTGTGCTCCTTGTCATGATCGAGCAAACGAAAAAATCCGAAGACAATTCAGTGTGTAAATAATGGCCTTACATAAGTATGAAAATCGTCAGTCAACACTCGACTCATTGATAGATTGTATTTGCAGACAAAGTCAATGTATTGACTATAAAACTTGCAAAATGATGACATTAAACAAGACTGTTGATATCCTTGTTTCGTCAACTTGTTTGTCAATAGTTTGCCTCGTATTGGAAATTGTTTGTTCATGCTCTTGCATATCTAATCAACTGGGAGACATAAACCCAATGTGCTGGTGATAAAGGTATATTGCTACATAAGTAAAGGAAGTTGACGATAGAAAAGTTGAAGTCATCACGTTTATCATAAAGTTTTATTGTTATGTTACCATTATTTTTATCTAGTAAAATATCCAAATATGAAACAGATGTGTCAGACTGAGGTATCTTTTATTTCATGTTCACTGGGATATATCAAGTTGACATATCAATGGAAGTAAATATTGTTAATTGATAATACGTCGTCGATACATCTAAATGTCGAGTTGAAGGCCACGGCAAGTGTTTCTTTTTCTTATGTTTAAGTTGCTGAATAAATTCTGCTTCATATGAATACAAAATAGGTCTGCTAATACTGGGGCGCAAGTGGTACCCATGGGTATTCCGACAGATTATAACTGTTATTAAAGCTGGTGTTGTAAAATTGTACATTTTTCTCCATTCAGCTTTATGAGGGTCACGCTTTATGGAGATGACTACAATGTAGTATAAATGGAAGAATTTTGCAAATTGTAATTAACTCAGACAATTCAATCATACTGTTCTTTTAGAACGTGACTGAAGGTACAATTATTGAGGACATTAGAGGGAAACCTATGCAAGCATTAATTATATTTGCTTACGCCATACGTGAACTGAAAAACAATTTGTTGGAACAATTACGGAACGCTATCACCGATGCCAAGGAAAAAGATATTTTGTATGTTTTGACTGTTCCTGCAATTTGGGACGAAAGGGCCAAATTGTTTATGCGAAAGGCAGCAATGAAGGTACATGTTACTTACTTTATACACGTATTAGGATTTACAGTCAGGTTCATTTGATTTATCGGTAATAATATTTTTACAATTCAGTCAAATTCAGTCTGTTGCTGTTTTGGGGTCAAATTATAATAATGAATACGCTGTATTGTATTCGTAATTCAACGAAGAAATTAATAAATTTATCTTGATTTATCTTGAAAAAAAAGGCAGGTATAGATGAAGAAATGCTGTTTATAGCACTTGAGCCAGAGGCGGCGTCCGTATTTTGTCAAACACTTCCCTTCCACGTTGAAGATGTTGGCCAAAAGCAACTGGTAAAACCAGGCACTCAGTACATGGTAGCTGATTTAGGAGGTAATGACTTATTTGAAGAAAAATTGTTAAGGCCGTCATTTAACCAACAAATTTATATAGCAAATCACATTGCTTGAATCACATAAACTTTAAAAAAAAATTGAATAAAGTTTCTTTACAAAGAAGAAGGTACGGTTTGGGCTTTATTGTGCCTATTATTATTTTGAAAATTATCATTGTTATTGTTTTGATAAAGTTGTGAAATTGGCTTAAATAAGAGTTGAGTAGATGAATTAGATAAATCATGAAAGAATATATATGGCTTAAAGGAAGACCATTATGGAAATATGACGTCATTAATTTGTTACATTTCTAAGTTTTAAACAGAAAAAGCCTCAAAATGACTCATTTCTGGGGTTATTTTCCTTAAGGAAATGGTGTCCACAGCCGTCGCCCACTTCAAATTTTGGATAATGATTATGTTTGTATATTATCCTTTAAAAGAATCACATTTATCAAAATCTTGGTGGACGATGCAAGTGCTCAATATTATTTTATAGAAAATTCCACTAAAAATTGATGTCTTCTGCTACTTTGTAAGAAAATACGGAAAAATGCACAAGTTCATGACGTCACAATTAGCATTTAGGAGGTCATATGAGAAAAACGATTTGTATGTTCTTTCTGCATGGAATTTCAATAATTTAGAAAGTATGCATTTTAATTTCTTGCACTACTTTCATATTTTAGAAAAATACTGGGTCAGATTTGTATTGAAACCGTGCCTTGTTCTTAATACAAAAAAAAATAATTTTGAACTTCGACTGCATAAAAAATCTTAGATCAAGAAAAAAATATTGGGAATATGTAACTTAATACGCACACCCTTGAACGCATACAGTAGCATTACTCTCTGTCTATCTATCTGACTTTCAAATTCATTTTGAACGATTCTTTACCAGAAAATAAATTAAAAAATATAAAATACTGAAACATAAAATTTAATCATTTAAGGAGGAACTGCTGATTTAACAGTTCACAAAAGAACAGAGAATGGTAAACTAAGAGAACTATGGAGAGCGTCTGGGGGTCCGTGGGGAGGGAAAAATGTAAATGAAAATTTTCTTCAGTGCATCACAACCATTGTCACTCCCAAAGCAATGGAGAAGCTCAGGAAAACAGAAATGGACGATTACTTGGATCTATTGCAGGAGATTGAAAGTAAAAAGAAACACGTCAATGTTAAGAAAAAGTCTTTGATCATCATTGTGCCGTTATCTCTCATTGACTGTACTAGTGAAGAGACAAATTACAAGACTTTAGAAGAAGCAGTCGCAGCTTCCATGTATGCTTCTTCCATAACAGTTAAGAAAAATAAGTTGACATTCAAGAAAAATGTATTAAATGAGCTCTTTGAGCCCATTGTTGAAGAAATTATAAACAAAATGATGAATGTTTTCAGTCATATTACATCGGATATCCCGTACATTCTTTTGGTAGGTGGGTTTTCTGAATGTGACATTGTAAGAGAAAAAATACGGGAACAGTTTCCTTCAAAGACGGTCATAGCTCCCTTGGAGTCGGGGCTTATTGTCTTGAAGGGCGCGGTGTATTATGGTCATCTTCCTGAGCCGATCTCCGTCCGCTGTGCTCCCTATACGTATGGCATCCAATCATGGCCTCCGTTTGACCCCCTCCAACATCCAAGAAACAAAAGGGTCATCATTAACGGCGAGGAACGTTGCAAAGACGTCTTTTTCAAATTTGTTACCATAGGAGACGCCATAGAACCAGGATGCACTAAATCTCAGAATTTTCAGATTTTGGACACGAAGCAGACATCCCTGGAATGCATTGTTTATGTTTCAGAAGAGGAAGATCCAGAATTTGTAGATACGTGTACACCCCTACTAAAATTAAGTATACCTTTGAAAGATTTCAGAGGCAGAGGAATTGTAGAAATAGAAGAGGCGTTGATCTTTGGTGAGACTGAACTGAGAATAAAAGCAAGAGACCACTGGTCAGGAGTGGAATATGCAGTTTCCAAGGAATTGGCCACGAGAGTCTAAAAGATGTATACATTTCAAACTATGTTCAATAAAATCAGGAATTATTTCAGTTTTCAATGCACAGTATATTCTGTTGTTATTTATTTATGATCCATTACACTTGAAATTATTAAGTTCTGTCATTAATTATAACCAAACAAAAACATTGTACAGATGCAAAGCAATACTTGCTTTCTTCAATGTGTTTTTGTTATCTTTAGCATGTATGAAAGTGCATAAAAGCATGATTTTATTTAAAATTTTACAAATTAAAAACACTCTTTGATTCAGTCCTTTTTTATTGGCTGTTTTCAATATCAAGACGATATGTTTGTGAATCAATCCTTGCTTTTCTAAAGGAGCGAGAATATTTAGTGTAGCTTTCTCTTCTGGCAGTTTCTTTTGCCTGTCCTCTAGTAATTTTCTTTATTCTTTTATCTCCGTCCAAAAACTCACTGAAAAGGTTGGATAAGTATGGATTATAATATTTCTGAATATTATGTAATCAAATCTTAATATATTTTGTAAAACATTGTTAAATATGATTAGAATTAAATTTCACCTTAAATCAATATTTCCATCTTTGTTTTTATCCAGGAAGTCTATTATTTTATCCAGAACTAGCTGGGATACTGGAATACCGGCTTTCTACAGAGAAAATATATACTAGCATATTCTAGTTTTAAAACATGTGCATAGTAAAGTAGTATACAATGAATTCCAACAACTTATAGTAGAAAAATCTAATTTAGTTTATGATCAATACAGATTACTTCACGAAAACAATATTTAAAGCTGAAAATCCTATGTTGGCTAACTTATACATCACGTTTGTCCCCCTACCCCATTTTTTAAAGGATGTCTTATATAGTGTCATTATGCTTATATTTGTGATTTTTTTCCATTTTAATAAAGATCTTATTTGACCATAACTGCTTGTAATGCTTCAGTCTTTCTGCACATCTTTATATATTTTCATTTAATTTTATTTCTCCAACAAGTGAAACATATTTGTTAACTTGCCTTGAAGAGCTCTCTGAATTCCTGATAAGACAAAACATCATCCCCGTCCCTATTAATCTTGTTGAAGAAGTCTTGGGCTCTGTTTTTTTCCTTTAACATGAACAGAAGGTTTAGTGGGTCAAGGTTAAACAGCCAGGGCGCTCTGACCTCTTCAGACATTGTTTGCTGATCTAAAGAGGGAACGGAGAGACACCTTTCGTACTCCACGTGGACATGCCTTGTCTTCTGGACGCTTCTTACAATGTCCAAAAAATCATCATTTACAACTATTCTCTAAAATGGAAACATATCTGTGATATTATTTTGTTCTTTTTCAATCATGTTAATATTAAAACAATTGCTGGTCATTGTTAAAAGATATTTTCTACGTATATACTTTATTCAGTTTATTTGTCATAATATCAGAATTCGAACAGCCATGTCAGCACACACACACACACACACACACACTTAGAAACAAATGAAACTGTAAAATAACGTTATCTTGTACCTTTAATATCAGTTCCTGGATAGACGAATTCTTTAAGACACTGCCCAGAAGGAAGCACGTGTAAGATACAGGAATTGGATTCATGCTCAACTTGTACAAAAGTAAATAGTAATTTTAAAAAAATGTATTATTCTTAAAGCTATGCCGCTATGTTATCAACAAATTTCAGAGCAATAGTATCACGATTTATCAAAAAAAGAATCCATTTGAACAACAATGGATTTTATATATCAACTTGATGTGAAGACAACTCTAATAATGTATTCAAATAGTATTTGCTGTAAATAATGTGTATTAATTAATATTCTGGGACATCACAATTGTGAGAAAAAAGCTTATGCATACGTTCAGTACTTTTAGGGCACTATTTCTTGTTATTCCGCGGATGAGTGCTATAAGTGCTGGCGGATGAATCCTGTTGTTTGTAAGGTCAAGCTCTGTCAGTACATTGTTTGCTTCTAACATTTCCGAAAGTGCAACACATCCTTCAAACCCAAAACCATTCCATGATAAATTCAGCCTTCGCAAGTTTGTGTTTCGCTGTAAAGGGATTGAAAAATAATTGTATTTAAAGCAAAAGGGTATCCATAGTAAATATGATGTTTCACATTGTTATCATGATCCAAAATCTTACCGAGATTCCTCTGGCTATTTCTATGGCTCCTGTAAAGCGGATACGATTCCATGACAGATCCAGCATTTCCAGTCGACTCTTCGCTGTTCAGAACAGCGATTTGAGAACAAAAAAAAAAAAACAAGACATACGTGTATGTAAACTCAAGTGGTGTATCCGTTGCACGGGGACTAACGTTAAGATATTATTAGTAAAATCTGTCATTATGATATAAATTATCCTATCTTGATATAAAAACTGCGGCTTAAAATGTTTTAAATTCCAGAAAAAAAAAGCACTGATATTCGGAAATCGCTTTAACAAACAAATTGAGGTTTTGTTTAGAAAAAAAGTCTTCCTCACCTAAAGAAATTCCTACGTGTCTTAAATTTCTTGTTTCTAGTCTGTTGTGGCTTAAATAAAGTTCTTTTAATGTTTTCGTGGTCTGAAATAAAATAATTACTAGTGTTTTGAGGAATTCGAAATACGTCCATATATGTTAAAAGAAGCAGTAACCATGTTGCTTGATAAAATGTATATAAGATGAGAGCTTACCAGTAATTTGGACAACGTTTCACAATCGCTATCATTTACGCCATTATCTGGAGAGAAAGAGAAAAAATACATTCTACTACAATGGCATTAAAGATTGATCATTCCATGTTAATTCCTTGGAAATTATATTAATCTGAAAGACGTTTTTTAAATTATTGGTAAAACTTTTGTCACATTTCAGTATACAACTTACTTCCTAAATCCAGGAACTCAACTTTGGACGTCTGTAGACTTGCTGTTAAAGCGTGTAAGATTTCTCCTTGAATGAAACAATTTCGGAGCTTCTGTGAAAAATAAATAAATTTAAAAAAAAAACAATCGGTGTTAATTATAAATGTCTTGAATTATGTCTTGAATTACGAATTATTTTCTGATTGAATTTTACATGTTTTTTAAAAGAATACTAAAACGCGGGAAAATACGTTTGAGACGGTACACAGTGTCGTCCTGTTCATATTGTCATCGGCTACACAGCTACCTCACTGAACATTCTGTCGTCCATTGGCACATACTGTCGCCGACTGAAAAATTATACATGTACATACTGTCGCCGGCGACAATATGCGCCTACCCCACTACATATATAGTTGCCCCACAATCTGGGTTGCTTACGGTTTTTTAAAATACTTTTATGAATGTAATTGGTGTGTAAAAACAGAAATTTGTCAGGTAGATTTATTTCGTAAAGCATGATATTGCGCAAAAGTCTGAGTTTCCCTGTATAAATTGATATGAGTGAGTTAACACAAAAATTATATTCATTTCGAAAATTATATTTTCAGTTATCTTGAGGTTGCATGTTCAATGTTTTGAACACGCGAATTTCATATATAGTATATTCATGATACTGAAATGAAATACTATATTTTTATTCAAAAAATACAAGATGCACTTTAAGGAGGGAAAATAGTGGAATTAACATGTAACCAAGTACCAAAAATCTCTCTCAATCTCCCCCTCTCTCTCCCCGACCCAAGTAAAACATTCTGCAAGCAATGCTTTTGGCGACAAAATATGCACTTCTTCGCACCATACATCGTTGCCGACCATAATATGTGCCAATATATGAGGAACACTTTGTCGCTCATTCTGCAGGGGAAAAAAGCTCATCTTGGCACATATTGTTGCCGGTGTCTATACCGATGGACGACAGAATTTGATAGATAACACACCCAGACCAACATTACCAGGATTGATAAAGAGCGGTTATTTCTCAGGAATTTGCAGAGATGTTTGTAGGACTTGACACACATTGTTGATCCAGATAGATCCAGATGTCCCACTTTGTGGTCAGACTGAAATTAAGAACTTTAATCAATCTCCTCTGCAACACATATTTCAAAATTTAAAAAAAAAGATAACTTAATCCACTTGTATTTATCATTTGGAATTAATTGCATTACAAAAATTTCTGTTGCAATTACTTTCAAATCGCTGGGCATTTGTACCGTAGGTGTTGAAATAATAGTTATTATAGTTATGTTTTCTTTTAATTTCATAATGTATCCTTACCCCTTTCTGACAATGAAAATACCTTGACTGTGTTGAGTATAGTTAAAAGCTCCAGACTGTTAAGGCATGCATTAGACATATCAATGTCGGAAGTTCCAATCTGGCGACTAAATCGAGAAAGACAGGAAACTCCATTTTGATGACAATCCTCCTCATAAGTCTGAATCCTCCTTTCCTTCTCTGTCTTTTTCTCGAGTTCTCAGATTTCAAACAAGAGAAAAATAATTAAAAATGAATACTTTATCACCTATATTCTTGATACGTATACATTTTTGTTTCCAGTATATTGGAATTATAAATTAAATCAGTAAAATGAGCAATATTGATAATACAAAATAAAGATTTCACTGTATGAATGGTAGAATCTTACCTTCTTTATTGGGTTGATTCTTCTGTTGATGAAGGTACAAAAGGTACGCAGTGTCACTTCGAAACAGCCGACATCCTTTCCTCTCCATCTTGATACCATATTGTTGTAGTACCGATTTTTCTTACCTTGAGATTTTTGGTGTATTGATTTTGAATTACCGATAGATATTTCTACCAAATGTCATCCGATTAGTACAAATATTAATTTGGCTTCTGACACGGAATGAAATGCTGAAGTGACAAGTTTAGCCGATTACCGTACGAAAATAGTATTAGCCTAGTTATTCTTCTTTGCATTCCTACATTCCAGTTGATAAATCTTCATCTGTGAATAGCATTTAACGTTGATATTAAACAAGTAAAAGAATAATTTGAGAGAAAATATAGTATAAAACAATGTAAATTCCTTACGTTTGTATTGAGCATACACTATTGTAAAACTGAATTCTCCTTACATTTGTATTTTCTTTACGTTGATAAATCAAGACAACAGATATATCTGAAACAACTAGTAGAATTAAGTAATCAGTGGGGCCACGATATGGCTTAAAGTTTTTTTCATAAAAATATTAGTAAGGTCGTTAAATTTTATTCGAAAGAATAAATGCAATAAGGCCACAGTTTGAAGAAGAAGCTTCGTCAGTGTACATTCGTTTTTTAAAAATCATGGCTCCTGACATAAAAAGGGGCCAGAATTGGAGGTCAAAAGTTTTTCAATGTAATTTCTGAGCTCCACAGTTACTGTTGTATAAAGGAATGAGGGGAAAGAAACCCCAATAGCATGTCTCAGATTAGAAAAAAGTTGCCATATGAGATACATAGGTGACAAAGAAACTCTATAGAAATACAAGAAGGTATAGATATATAGAAGTTGATGTCTTCTGTAATCAGAACTTATCTTTATATTAATAAACACGTGTGTGCCTCACTTACCGAAAACTTCCCTTCCAGATTTCCAGATATATATATATATATATATATATATATATATATATATATATAAAGCACTAAAAATGACCAACGACACGAACAATAGAAATTGTCAAATTTTCGGGACGCCCTGTCCCTTCCTTAGGATAAAGAAAAAAGTTGAGAAGTCATAAAAACAAAGGAAATAGAAAAACATGAATTTGGAAAAAGTAGTCAAACTATAGCTGTGGATGAAAGGGGTCATATATATATAGCTGTGGATGAAAGGGGTCATATATATATATAAAGCACTAAAAATGACCAACGACACGAACAATAGAAATTGTCAAATTTTCGGGACACCCTGTCCCTTCCTTAGAACAAAGAAAAAAGTTGAGAAGTCATAAAAACAAAGGAAATAGAAAAACAAAAACGGCTAGCACTACTACTAAACTACCAAACACTATTTATTTACAATGTTACATGTTGAATTTGAATTTTATAATCAGTTGTAAAGAAATAAATCCGGACCGCTATGAAATACGTCCGGTCTCTCGGGTGTACTCTGGTGAAGTCGGACCTTGTATCTATTTAGTAGATCCGACATTTAGGATATACAGTGTTGTTGGTTTTTGTAGTGCTTTCTCTCTCTCTCTATATATATATATATATAAATTATATATATATATATATATATATATATATATATATATATATATATATATATATGACCCCTTTCATCCACAGCTATATATATATGACCCCTTTCATCCACAGCTATAGTTTGACTACTTTTTTCCAAATTCATCGCTCCATCAGTTCTAAATAGAAACTAACCCTTATTTTGGAATCAACCAGCTTGTTTTATATAGTTGCTTCGATTAAAAAAACAACCTTTATTTTTCATATGTTAAATATAATTATATGTTCAGTTTACATGAATTAGTACAAAAACATATTATAAATACCTGATTTTAATATTCATGGAGTAATAAATACATGCACATAATATGAATTTCAGGCCCTCGCCTTTTCAGAATAATTTTTTTCATCGAAAGTTTGTCTGGTAATCAAATGCCTCTTTGACTTCATTAATCTACCTCCTCCACCTTTGGTCCGCCTGCGGCACCTTCTCCTTTCTGACCGACATGGAGTTTTGTCATAATCGGACTACAAGTATCTTGCATCATTTTCAATTTACCTTCGAATTCCGACTTTTCTGAGTTTGCGTTTAGATCAAGCCATTTTAGGGCCTCCTCGCATGCATTCAACGCTTCTGTTTTTTCTGAGGGCTGAAGTTTTTCCTTTTCCTCCTCCACTGCATTACGAACACTGTACACGTAGTTTTCCAGTTGGTTCTTGCTTTGTACACAATCCCTCTGCTTTTCGTCCTCTTCCCTGTATTTTTCTGCGTCTGAAACCATTTTGTCAATATCAGCCTTACTTAATCGACCTTTGTCGTTTGTAATGGTCACCTTATTCGTTTGACCAGTGCTTTTGTCCACTGCAGAAACATTCAAAATGCAGTTGGCATCTAAATCAAATTCAACATCGATTTGCGGGATACCTCTAGGCGCAGGTGGAATACCAGCGAGGTCAAAGTTTCCAAGTTTGTGATTGTCCTTCGTCATGGCACGCTCTCCTTCGAAAACCTGGATATGGACACTTGGTTGATTATCGGAGTATGTCGTAAATGTTTTACTTGTCTTGCACGGAATTCGGCTGTTTCTTTCAATGAGATTCGTCATAACACCGCCTGCTGTCTCTATTCCAAGTGAAAGCGGTGCAACATCGATGAGAAGCACGTCTTTGATGGCATCACTCGAATCGCCAGACAAAACAGCAGCCTGAACGGCAGCTCCGTACGCTACCGCCTCGTCCGGATTGATAGAACGATTTAGTTCTTTTCCTCCCATAAAATCTGTGAGCAGTTTTTGAATCTTTGGTATTCGTGTTGATCCACCAACCAGAACTATGTCGTGGATTTTAGACTTGTCTAATTTGGCATCCTTTAATGCTCTTTCGACAGGTTCCATTGTGCTCTTGAATAAGTCGGAGCACAGTTCCTCGAATCTTGCTCGCGTTATTTTAGTATAGAAATCTACTCCGTCGCATAGGGAATCTATTTCTATACTAGCTTCTGTGCTGCTGGACAAAGTTCTTTTGGCTCTCTCACATGCCGTTCTTAGTCTTCGAAGAGCCCGATTGTTTGATGTAATATTCCTTTGATATTTCCTTTTGAATTCCTTGACGAAATGATCCACCATTCTGTTGTCAAAATCTTCACCTCCCAGATGAGTGTCACCCGCTGTAGACTGAACCTCAAAGATAGATCCCTCATCAATTGTAAGTATGGATACATCGAATGTACCCCCGCCTAAGTCGTAGATTAGGACATTCTTTTCGCCAGATAGATTTTTGTCGAGACCATAAGCTAAGGCAGCAGCTGTAGGCTCATTTATTATTCGTAACACGTCTAATCCTGCTATGATGCCTGCATCTTTCGTTGCTTGGCGCTGAGAGTCGTTGAAGTATGCCGGAACTGTGATTACTGCCTGAGTAACTTTCTCTCCTAGAAACGCTTCCGCCGTCTCGCGCATTTTGGTCAGCACCATTGAACTAATCTCCTCGGGACTAAATGTTTTCATTTCATTTTTGTATTCCACTTGTATCATCGGTTTTCCTTGCTTGTTAATAACCTTAAATGGCCAATGTTTCATGTCACTTTGCACCGATGGCTCGTCAAACTTCCTTCCGATGAGTCTTTTGGCGTCAAAAATAGTATTTTTCGGATTCATTGCGACTTGATTTTTGGCAGAATCGCCAATCATTCGTTCGGTTTCTGTAAAAGCAACGTAACTTGGCGTCGTCCTGTTACCTTGGTCGTTCGCGATTATTTCGACTTTTCCATGCTGGAAAACGCCCACACATGAATAAGTTGTTCCGAGATCGATTCCAATTACAGGAACTTTCATCCTGAGAGAAGTGAGAGTTTTGAGATTTTTTGCTTGTGCTTTTCCGTGTATATATTTCAATGTGTATTAACGATGGTATTTATAAATGTTTTGGCTTGCAGATGAAAAACCCTGTCTTGTCATTTTCACGTGCATCGCCTATGCCCCAGGGGACAACTCATAAAGGGTTTCAATTGTGTGGACTTTTGCCAGAAATCCATTCATCTTGCATCTATGCCTGGAGTAATTAGTAGTATTATGAAGCGTAAAAAATTTGTGTTGACAAAGAATAACAGAATATAATAATGAATAGATTATATGATAATATTTAATACACAAAGACTAAATCTTTCCTTCAGATTACGTGTATTATGGTTGATTCGAGGGTATTAATCGAAAATAATTTGTGCTAAACTTAAATGTGGATGATTTGTTTTTAACAAATATATTTGTATATATTTGAAAGTCTTTTTTTAATGTTATACATGTCTATAATTATGTTAAAAAAAACGTAGACAAACAGGAAAATTAATTACAAAGAGAAATTTTCAAGATATTTTCAAAATCGAGTTGTATGTATATGTATTGTTTCTGCTAAGTTTGTATTCTAATCCAGAGTACACATCTTATTGATGTGTGCATATATCTATGTGTCTATAATATTACTTTAATTTAAAGTTAATTAATGAAGGGAGCATTTTGTGTTTACTTAATGTCTCGGGAATTAGTGCTCAGTCTGAACTTGTACACTTGCAGGGACTACTGTGTGTAGATTTTTAAAATCTTTTAGGCTGTTCTTTTTTTTTTTTTTTAAATAATTAAACGATTATACAGTAAATTGCGGGAAAAAAATATTGTGAATTATTTCAATACATAGGTAATGCAAGAAATACAATTCGTAGGGGGGGGGGGGGCAAAGGCCGAGGAAACTAAAAGAAATTTTTACCTGGAACGTATCTTATTCCAGTTTTAATTCTTGTCTCACTTATAATATATTAATTGTTCTGTTTATTGTTCAGTCAGTTATGAAAAGAAACAAAATATTCAAAGCTTGAAGTCTTCGTTTTAAGCTGTGAACAGTTTGGAAATAAAAAAAAATATTTATAATCAATGTTTCATGTGAATGTAACACTTATTTTATTCTCAACGTTTAAATTTACTACTCACTCCCTAATAAGCGTTTAACATTTAAACAAATTGCAGAAATTCACAAACTTTAGCCTACTTAAACTTACAAGTCAACGTTGTTCCGGTTGTTATTGATTGGAAAGAAGAATTAAATTCTCCTTCACTATCTATTTACAAAACGTCGATAATAAACTAACTTTGATAAAGTAAATTGACGCTTAAACATATTACAAACTTGTCCAAAATTATGTGTTCCTTGCGTTCTTGTGGGAGATTCTTGTCATTATTAGCTCATCTGAGCTGAAAGCTCGTGAACTTTTCTGATCACTTTTTTTCTGGCGTCCGATTTCACATTTTTATTCTTGCCAGAAAGCATCCTTGAATGAACTTCATACTATCAAGGATTTGAGTTAAAACGGCATAGAAAGAAAATTCCTTTAATCTATCATTTACGAATGTTTTACATTCATTTTGCAAAATAATTCGTTACTGTCCTCCACTGAGCATTTTCTTAAACTTCTACTTTTTGCATGAAAAGCACATTTTTAAGCATATGCCTGTACGTATACTCCATTCTATTAACACCTCAACAAATAACTTCTCTTTTTCTGCTTGTCATTGAATCTTCAGACATATTAGATCGCCGAAAATGAAATACAGTACAGCCAAATCAGTGTAAAACCCCATCGGGCCTGATAACTAGCTAAAGTACATCGAGAGTATTGACCCCCCCCCTCCATACATAGTCACCTTTTTTGAATTTGGGTTAATTACAACTTACCGCTTTCTCTTACGGATCTTAAGAGCATACTCTCTCATTTATTATTATTAATAGATTTCATCGATTACCTTTACTCGACGACCTTTTCTCATTTCCGGGGAAAATATGTTTAACAGAAACGGTTTTAATTATTACAGTGCAAAACACCGGAAGTAAACAACTGCATGTGGAAACCTGTGGCTGTGTAAACAGAACTAAAATATTACAAAGCATCTTAGTTTTGCTCTTATTTCCATTATTCATAGTTTGGGAAACTTTGTGTGAAACCATCGAAGGTAAGTAAATTTCTTTTTCTCGTATATAATAACTTTTAAATTAGTTTTTTTTTTTAGATTTGGTATTTATGTATGTTTTAATTTAGGTACTATCAACTGACTATAACAGGGTTGGTTCCAGAGCATAATGGAATTCACAGCTGATCAAATTAACTCTTTGGCACAGATGCTAAAACCACCAGATGAAGACAGCGATTCTGATTGTGAACTAGATGAAAGGGTAACTGATATAATGACAAATGTGTAATTTTACCAAAGGCAAAGGGTGACTGTCCTACAGGTACACAAATGTGTACACGTTTAAGAGAATTGCATTTTTTTAAATTTTTTTTTTTTGATAATTCAGTAACAGGTGTCCAGTAATCAATCATTAAATCAGATTGATGTGTGATAATAAAAGATTTTTTCATCATATGATATTATTTTGATGCACTAATACCTACTAAATTTTATTATTAAGCCCTCAACTTATGGTAAACTGGGACCAGGTCAGATTGGCCCTGCATCTAAAACAGACCAGAAATCTGAGAAAGGTATTTTTTCAAAATAAGGCATAATTGAACCAAACATTCTTAACTGAAAATTGGAGCATTTATTCTGAAAGATATCGAGTGAATGCTATATTGGATTTTTGATTTTGATGTTGATTGACATATGAAAGGAAAAGCCTCTTACCAAATCACATATACATGTACATAAATTTTGATTATTCACCCTTTATAGAGATTGTGTGATTGTAATGAATCTCCCATTCTATGCTTTGGTGTAATTGCTGAGGTGATGAAATACATAATAATTAACTTTATTTAGTACCCGCATCAAAGGGAAATTCCAAAGATATATGGGAAGAAAATGAGGTGCCCGAGGGATCAGAATTTGACACAACATTTGACCCACGACCTCAACCAGAGTATGTATAGTAGATAATTTAGGGTCCTATATATTCATCAGGTTCTTGATTCAATGAAATTATGGTCAATACAATGCTCTCATTCAAATATGATAACATTTACTTATTTGTATATAGTTACACAGTCAGATGAAATTTACTTTGATAATAATTCTTAAATGAACATGTTTCTGCAATATTCATTTCTATTAAATATTGACATCCCCACTCAACCATGTGGCTATAAAATGAATTCCACAGTCGCAGATTAAGGTGTAAAAGCCCAAGTGTGTCTGTGAGTGTTTAAGTAACAAAACTGAGTACCCAGTCTTTAATCTCCCAGTCTCATACAAAACCTTGCTGATGAGATATGAATTGTGTAATAGGGAAGAAAATCATATGTTACAAAAAAAAAAACAACAAGAAACAAAGTATGAAAAAATTTTGTGAACTTTTAGAAGCACTTGTGAAATTCAATCAATCTTGGAAAACATTACATGTATAAGCCTTGCCAACCCCTTGAAAATTTAAGCATTTCCCCTTCTGTTTAATACAGATTTTTTTTAAAAAGAAAAAAAACAAAACAAAACAAAAAAAAAACAAAACAAAACAAAACAAAAAAAAACTAAAACAAAAAATGTTTCAATGCAGTAGGAATTTATGCAGAATTTGCACTCTCAAAGAAGTAGTATACAGGAAGTAGTATATAAATGGGTTAGCTGCAATAATGTAGCCCTCTCCGATTTTTTTATGCCCCGCCATGAATATGGCCGGGGCATATAGTGTTTGTCATGTCTGTCTTCCGTCCTTCCGTCCTTCTGTCCTTCCGTCCTTCCGTCTGTCCTTCCGTCACACTTTGCGTTTAGCTCTGTTCAAAGCTCAGTTTCAAAGAAACTATCCAAGATATTTTTATCAAACTTCATATGCTGATAGATATTGATGAGGGCTATGCAACTGCATCAACATTTTTTGACCTTTCCTTTGACCTTGACCTCACTTTTCTTAAATTAGTGTTTAGCTCAGTTTTAAAGATACCATTCAAGATAGTGTAATGAAACTTCATATGTTGATACCTACTGACGTAAGCTATTCAACTGCATCAACATTTTTTGACCTTGACCTTTCTTTTGACCTTGACCTCACTTTTCATAAATTAGTGTTTAGCTCATTTTTAAAGATACCATTCAAGAAAGTGTAATCAAACTTCATATGTTGATACATACTGATGTAAGCTATTCAACTGCATCAACAATTTTTGACCTTGACCTTACTTTTGACCTTGACCTCACTTTTCTTAAATTGGTGTTTAGCTCAGTTTTAAAGATACCATTCAAGATAGTGTAATCAAACTTCATATGTTGATACATACTGATGTATGCTATTCAATTGCCTCAACATTTTTTTGACCTTGACCTTTCTTTTGACCTTGACCTCACTTTCCTTAAATTAGTGTTAAGCTCAGTTTTAATGAAACCATTCAAGATATTTTTTAACAAACTTCATATCCTGATACATACTGATGTAACCTTTTCAACTGCATCAACATTTTTTGACCTTGACCTTTCCTCTGACCTTGACCTCACTTTTCTTAAATTAGTGTCAAACTTCATATGCTGATACATACCGATAAGAGCTATTCAACTGCATCAATATATTTTGACCTTGACCTTTTCTTTGACCTTGACCTCACTTTTCTTAAGTAAGTGTTTAGCTCATTTTTAAAGAAACCATTCATTATATTTTCATCAAACTTCATATGCTAATACATACTGATGTAACCTTTTCAACTGCATCAACATTTTTTGACCTTGACCTTTCCTTTGACCTTGACCTCACTTTTTCTCAATTTGTGGTAAAATGTTGCATTACTAATATACCCTCGGCGGGGCATTCATGTCCTATGAACATATTTCTAGTTTTTTTTTTTTTTTGGGGGGGGGGGGAGGTCTCCTGAAAATATCAGATTAAAAAAATCGGAGAGGGCTACATTATTGCAGCTAATAAATGGGTATGTAAATTGTATGTAAAGTGTATATGAAGGATATAACATTATACATATGGTATTGTTATAATAATATAGCTAAAGCAAAAAAAGGTACCTATTGGCAAAGAAAGCTGAGCTTATTTATCATATTTTTAGATATGACATGGTATTTAAACAAGCAGTATCTTCAGAGGACATGTTTCTACAGATGGGCAATAAAACCCCATCCACTGCTAGCTGTGAAGACATGGTGGTATGTTGTATGTTATAACCTTTTCTTATCCTCTTGCCTACATATAGAGAACAGGACCTCAGACCCCCCCACCCCACCCCCCACCCCCACCCCCCCCCCCCCCCCACCCCCACCCTTTCCCATATCTCAAGTGCTTTTTGAATATTTTTTGTTATCTGATGACATCTGTAAAAGATTGAGTACTGTGGGTTTTTTTTTTTTTTTTTTTTGGCATATTTTGGTTGAATACTAATTTTCATTGTTTTCATGGTTTTGCAGAACTACAATGTACATGTAGATGTCTATGATTTTCCTTGTAAATGAAATGGTGTTTTTTTTCTAATTATGTAAAATAACAATATTTTTCCCCATGAAAATTAATAAATCCACTGTATGATTACATTTTTCATGAGTTAAGTTTTGCATACAATGAAATTTATTAAAAAGTTTCACTCATTTTTAAAGTAACATAAAGCTTGAAATCAAACTGGACCAAATTTTATCGCATTATTGATGGGGAAACTCTATTATTCTATTGCAGAAAGCATAATTTTTATTGTCTGATCTGAATCATATTCTGGTACTCTCAACCATTTCATTGATTTTTGTATAAATCATGTATATTTTTTTTTTTAATTTTTCCATGATTTACTCTACATCCCTATCAACTCAGTTGATCATCTCAATTTACAAATTCCTTTAGATTTGCACTAGTAAAGAAAGGCTTCAAAATAAAAAAAAAATAGCCCTCATCAATCATGTTGGGTTCAAATGGTTAATGTTATTTTATTTTTTTTTTTTTAATTTAAATTTTTTTTCTTCTATGTAAAGATATAATTTTGTCCTCTTTTCACTGTAGGTAAAAATCAAGTTACCTGGAACAAAAGCAGCTGATCTCACTTTAGATGTCAAATCTAAATTTCTAGATCTCAGGACACCAAAATAGTAAGTGGTTGATAAACTACAGTGTATCAGAACAAATTAAATCCTAGATTTAGGATGCTGTAAACATCTACTAAACATGGTATTAGGGGACAATGTAAAATGAATATAACACCACCCTAGTGTATGCATTGTATTAGAATATCTGAAAATCAAATTCTGCTTGAAGTAAACTTCATTTAATTATCATAACTGTATATACAAGACCAAACAATTAGTACATCTACTTTGAAAAGGAGGATATTTTCACGAATAGTCTGGATGTTGCTGACAAACAATGAAATAAACATAACTTCTTGGTTGTAGAAAGTGATATATGCACCAATCAAACTTAGAAAAATTTACCCAAATCTAAGCAAAAATTTGCTTTGATGCAGAGTACTATCACTGGTGCATTATGATTTGATTTGTGCTTAAACATGTCATTGCCTATAAAAAATCCAGACTATGAATGAATCTATTATACACATGTGTATAAAATTCTTCTTTTATTTTCACTCAAAAATTAAATAATTATCCTTCAATTGGGAAGTTGACTAATTTTATTTAAGTCAATGACATGCAGCACACACAATATTCATTTAATTTGATAGTGATATACATGTATGTAAGATTTTTAAAAAAATTATTTTTCAGCAAACTTGGTCTTCACTTACCCCACCCTGTAGATCACAAATCTGGAAAGGCTCAGTGGGATGGAGACAAAGAAATTCTTAATGTCACTCTACGCATGCAGAGGGAATATGACTTTATGAACTTCTAAATCCATTTTTTTCTTCTTTGATGCATATACATGTATGTGTTCATATTGTTATTTTTCACTTGTTTCCGTCCAGAAAATGACCTTTTAATATAAACGATTTGAAATAACTTAAATTGTTTGTTTGATTTTATGGAATATGTGTAGAAAGGGCATAGAAAATTAAGTGATTTTCTCTATTGCAGTGAATCAAAAGACTGAATCCCATTATAGAAAACTTTTTTAATCATTCACTTTTTGGTGAAGTGAGGTGAAAGAACTGGGTTTTCAATTAAAAACTCAACAGAAGTGGAAGTTGGTGACATTTAGGGAGTGAGACCCTCTGTCATGAATCACTGTTATCACATGATCTATTCAAAAATATATAATACATGTATGTAAGACAATACGAAAATTATACCCAAACCTTACTAGACACAAATCAAATATGAGAAAAACTAGCAAAGAAGTAAAGAATATTGAATTTATTATTTTTTTTTTTAAAAACTGTAAGCTAAATACTAATTTTGTTTAAAATTAATTGAGTTTAACTATGCTTTTTGAATTGCGAACTTCTGAACTTTTGAAGGACTTTCAGAAAGGAGTAAACACAAGTAATATTTTATAGAAGAGAGGTGGTCAGTTCCATTAGAGATAGCCACAAGGACTTTGGAAAAATAACGGAGACCTTTTATATATTTTGCTTGTTTCCTTGATCATTCTCTTCAAGAAAATTTATGGTGGGACTTGACGCAGACTAAATATGAGTACATTTTTTATGAAAAAAATAGTGTCTTTATTCAAGCATTGTTAAAGTTTTTATTTAATTTCTAATCTCATTGCGATGTTCCTTGAAATATCTGTCGTAAAAATCCACTACTGTCGATAAATATTATTAGTTGTCATTAAAATTATTTTTTCTTACCTTTAGGAAATGGCTCTTCAATTTCTTTGCTAAAATGAGTTCAAAAATCACCTTTTATTTTAAAATTAGTAGCAAATAAAGAAGTTATTTTCAATGCAATTCGATTTATTGAAATTGTTTATTACGATATCAAAATAACACATTTCCAGTTTACGAAATACTCATAACAAATGCAGTGGTATGACATTTATATTCTTAACATTTTGCATAATGTTTATCTCTAATCATTGAAAATACTTAATGGAATTCTGGAAATGACAACAATCATTTTTTATGATGTCATTAAAAAAACTTCTCTCGATCATAAAAATCTATAACGGTATGATTAACTTCTTTAGTATACTGGAGAAATAATTTTTACCTAATTGCACGGGGCCACGCATATACATGTGTTATTTTGCTGTGCTTTACTAGGAATATTTTCTTCAGGAAATTACTTGTTCCATTATTTCTGCCATTTTACCTTTGTTTAGAAATATATTTTACTATAAAGGACTATATTGCCTTCTTGGGTTATTTTTTTAAATACAACTCATCAAAATGGCTCGATTTTCATTTTTAGCTCACCTCAACGAAGTTGGGGGAGCTTATGTAATACCCTCGGCGTCGGTGTCGGCGTCGGCGTCCCAGGTTAAGGTTTTTGGAGCAGTTTTCTTTTCAAGTACTTCTATGGCCTATATTAGTCAGAGATGCATGGAGGATGCTTCTAGTGTGTTTCATTGTACCAGTCAAGGTTTCAGATGCTGCAATTTCAGCTAAAGAATGACCAGGTTAAAGTTTTTGGAGCAGGTTAAAGTTTTTGGAGCAGGTCTCATTTCCATGTAACTATAAGCCCTATATTGACCAAACTTGCATGGATGATACATCTAAGGATGCACACTACTGAACTTGCTTCGGATGCTGGATCTGACCTACATTTTCTGGATGAGTGACTAGGTTAAGGTTTTTGGAGTAGATCTCATTTCCAAGTAACTAAAAGTCCTATATTGACCAAACTTGCATGGATGATACATCTAAGGATGCACACTACTGGACTTGCTTCAGATGCTGAATCTGACCTATATTTTCTGGATGAGTGACCAGGTTAAAGTTTTTGGAGCAGATCTCATTTCCAAGTATCTATAAACCCTATATTGACCAAACTTGCATGGATGATACACATAAGGATGTACACTACTGGACTTGCTTCGGATGCTGGATCTGACCTACATTTTCCGGATGAGTAACCAGGTTAAAGTTTTTGGAGCAGATCTCATTTCCAAGTAACTATAAACCCTATATTGACCAAACTTGCATGGATGATACATCTAAGGATTCACACTACTAGACTTGCTTCGGATGCTGGATCTGACCTACATTTTGCGGATGAGTAACCAGATTAAATTTTTTGGAGCAGATCTCATTTCCAAGTAACTATAAGGCCTATCTGAACCAAACTTGCATGGATGATGCATCAAGGGACGAACAATCTCAAAACTTGCTTCGGATGCTGGATTTGACTTACATTTTCTGAATGAGTGACTAGTTTTAAGTTTTCAGATAAGTCTATTCCCAAGTAACTGCAAGCCCTATCAGATCAAAATTGCATAAATGTTGCATCTAGGGATGCACACTCCTAGATTATTAGTTTAGTGTGGGACTTTGCCTTACTTAAAGACAACATTCGTTGAGGTGAGCTCTGTAATCTCTGATTACCTATGTTTTTAAATTAGTAATCAATAATACCTTGTTTTTCAACATTATCCAGATATAATTTGCTTTATTAAGCATGTACTTAGTAAACAAGAGGCCCAAGGGCCTTAACGGTCACCTGAGTATAATGCAACAATTTAGAGGATCCATACAGTATAAAATGAACTGAAAGGTGAAGCTTTGTTGCCCAAAAGCAAGAAAAATAGGGTGATCAGGATCAACAAAATAATTAGTCTAGTGTTCATTAACAGTTCATAAATTAGGTTCTGATCTGTTCCCCATTTATCACTAACACCATATAGTATATTAACAAATTATCAGTGCTTCTGTACTATTTTAATTCTTTGTTGAAATCTCTTACATTGGACTCTCTTGGTCTTTGATGAGCATTGAATATGACAAGTTATTTTTGTCTCATTTTTATCTATCTATTACTTTCAAGTCTTACAAGTCTACCTGATCATAAAAACTATGAAAGTACTTTTTGTATTATACGATAAAAAATCTTGCATAATTCTCTTATTCTATTAACCTTTCAAGTACATTATTTACAGTGACTAATTATCAAAAGTAAATGGCAAAGGGGAATAACTCCTCTCAGTAGAATACAAATTAATAGAGCCCTGGCCAGGACCAGAACACTTGACAAAATGGTCCAGATGTTCAAAAATCTATATTAAAACTTTTACTCTTTTTACTACAGATTCACTATATTATCAATAGAGCCCCCCCCCCCCCCCGTTCCCACCGAGAAACACCAGAGCCTCTCACCCTGGGACCAGAGGTTTGCTCATCATACATGTAAGTAATCACTTTGTTTATCTGATAAACACTAAGGAGCAGTCAGGATTATGTAACAGAATTAATGCATTTTCACTATATAATCAATAGAGCCCCGTCCTAACACCAGAACCCCTGAACCTGGGGCCATGAAATTCACAATTTTAGAAAAGGCACTCTTGCTCATTATAACTATGTACTTACTTAGTTTATTTAATACCCAGAAATAGAGAAGAAGATTTTCAAAGAATTGATGCATTTTTACAATATAATCAATAGAGCCCCCCCCCCCTTTCACCAGAACCCCTGACCCTGGGGCCATGAAATTCACAATTTTGGAAGAGGCACTCTTGCTCATTATAACTATATACTTAGTTACTTTATTTAATACCCAGGAGCAGAGAAGAAGATTTTCAAAGAATTAATGCACTTTCACTATATGATCTATATAGCCCCGCCCTAACACAAAAACCCCTGACCCTGACCATCAATTTCACAATTCTGGAAGAGGCACTCTTGCTCGTCATAACTATATACTTGGCTAGTTTATTTAATACCCAGGAACAGAGAAGAAGATTTTCAAAGAATTACTGCATTTTCACAATATAATCAATAGAGCCCCCCACCCCCTTTTCATCAGAACCCTTTACCCTGGGGCCATGAAAATCAAAATTTTAGAAGAGGCAATCTTGCGTATCATAACAATGTACTTAGTTTGTTTAAATAATACCCAGGGGCAGAGAAGAAGATTTTCAAAGAATTAATGCATTTTCATTATATAATCAATAGAGCCCCGTCCTAACACCAGAACCCCTGACCCTGGGGCCATGAAATTCACAATTTTAGAAGAGGCACTCTTGCTCATTATAACTATGTACTTACTTAGTTTATTTAATACCCAGGAGCAGAGAAGAAGATTTTTAAAGAATTAATGCATTTTCACTATATAATCAATAGAGCCCCCCCCCCCTCTTTTCACCAGAACCCCTGACCCTGGGGTCATGAAATTCACAATTCTGGAAGAGGCACTCTTGCTCATCATAACTATGTACTTAGTTACTTTATTTTATACCCAGGAGCAGAGAAGAAGATTTTCAAAGAATTAATGCATTTTCACTATATAATCAATAGAGCCCCGCCGTAACACCAGAACCCCTGACCCTGGGGCCATCAATTTCACAATTTTGGAAGAGACACTCTTGCTCATCATAACTATATACTTGGTAAGTTTATTTAATACACAGGAACAGAGAAGAAGATTTTCAAAGAATTTATGCATTTTCACTATATAATCAATAGAGCCCCCCCCCCCTTTCACCAGAACCCCTGACCCTGGGGCCATGAATTTCACAATTTTGGTAGAGGGCTCAATGCTTATTACAATCATGCCAACAGTTTGACTGCTTAATGTCCAGGAGTAAAGAAGAAGATTTTTAAAGATTGCATCAATTTTGGTGCTTTTAGCCCCACCCCTCAGGCCCCAGGGGGGCAGGGACCATGAAATTCACAATTTTTGTTCCCCTTTACCCATAGATGCTTTATGCCAAATTTGGTTGAAATTGGTTAAGCGGTTTCAGAGAAGAAGCTAAAAATGTTCAAAAGTTAACGCACGACGGACGACGCACGACGACGGACGAAAACGGATAGCAATAGGTCACCTGAGTGACTCAGGTAACCTAAAAATACAGATGATTACAAATGCAATACAGCTAAGTTTTCAGTAACCGTATCTGATTCCTGGGCTGACACAGGTCATGCATCCTCTTGCAATTTGAAAAAAAAACCATCGTAGCTGATTACACACCTATGTTTTCGTTTATATTCTCTGTAAAAATTGTAGTTGATTTAAAATTATTATTATTTGACTTATTAAAGTAGTTGATGACAATTGTTTTCGTTCAGGTTGATGTGTTTTGTAATTTATTACAAAACACGTTAATTAATATAATAATACGTACATGTATGTACGTACATAATATGTACATGTACCCTTTTCCATGAGCGTCCCTGTAGCCGCCCTCGACCATATAGGCATTCGGCCCTCTGATTGATTTTGGTGTCTAGAAATGATACTGTGTGATATTTAAAAAGGTATAAATTATTCTATATTTATCATATATGGTGTGATTTTGTGAGATTATTACGATATTCGATTGGCCGTTGTCTTGCGTCATCAATCGTCCACTAAGGACAAGATAGGCTAAAACCCCTTTTTGGCCCCTGTTTTGGAGTATTTCTTAGATCGATGCAGTACTTCATAATCAAAAACCTGCTGTCATCACTGTTATAAAGTGAGTGTTAATTTAAAGTGAAAGGATACACAAAGGTCACAGGAGGGCCACATAATTTGTCAATTTCCGAATTTTGTTGTCATTTTTATCTATTTTTCTCAATTTTAAAGCACATTTAGTTTCAGAAAACACAACAGAAGCTTGCCAATCTACCAAATTTATATATTTTATTTCTACAGACTGTATGCATAGCATTGGCGGATCCAGAGGGGGGGTTCCGGGGGTTGGAACCCCCCTTTATTTTTGCAGAGGGAGAGAGAGCGAGATTTCTGTAATATAGATAATTTAACGTCTAATATTTTGAATAAAATAAGTAGTTCAATCGCTGCCCTTTCTGCTCGCTAGATAAAGTGTCCCGTATTCCATCCTCCACGTACCTTCAGAACCTTGGCCCCCGGGCCCCGACCACCCACAAGTAACATGCAAGATTTCACTTTGATATCATTGGAAGATTCCAGCGAACTTCAGCTATGCCATTTTTGGACCATCTTCTGAAGTAATTAACTTTAAAAAGTATGAATAAAAAGTCATGAAAGGGAACATACATAAGAGACTATTATGATGATATTTTAATCTATGAAGAGAAAGGTGTAAAATGCCCTAGTAGTATGCGGGGGGAGTGGGTTCACTTTTTCTGAGAATAATCTTTTTGCTGTAGTTTTAATATGCAGGTTTTGATTTGGATGCTCCCCCATTTTGTTGCTGAAAGTTCAAAATACGCAATTCAAGCATTTGAAACCAAAAAAAATGCGGAAAAGTAAGAGGACCCCCCCCCCTACCCCGAAATAGGATGTAAGAATGTGGCGCACAGTTGTTGTTGTTTGTTTGTTTTTGTTTTTTTTTGTTTTTTTTTTTTTTTTGTTTTTTTTTTTTTTGTTTTTTTGTTTTGTTTTTTTTAGCTTGTCAACTCTGTTCGGAGGTTGGCCCTTTCGATAAACCATTGCTACGGACTTGAAGTGTCTGTGGCCTAATTCAATGCATGTTTCTCTTGCATGTCAAAAATATGAATGTTGGGGGCACCTACCTGGAACCCCCCCTTTCAAAAATTGCTGGATCCGCCCTGCATAGATATCGGATACATCATGTGCATAAAAATCTCAGACAGGCAAGCATGTACTCTGTGTTTCCCGAAGTGAAAAGTATCTCAAATTCTGAGAGTTTAGGAAATTCGGTAAAATGTTCTACTTGGTCACCTTCTTGTGCCCTCTGTAAAAAAATCAATGCTGGTTTTAAAACAAACATCATTTAAAGTCCTTTTTATGGTGGCATATTTCTCAGTGCCCCCTACATGTATATGCAAGTTATTGTTCTATGAATTATGTCATGCAACATATATATATATATATATATATATATATATATATATATATATATATATATATATATATATATATATATATGCAACATACAAGAAAAAAATGATAAGAAAAGAATTATAAAATACCGATTTCCAACATGCTAGATGCAACTTATGACGGCGTGATACTTATTTATGTTGACATGTGAGATAAATATATTGACTTGCAACTCATTTATGTCAACATGCAATTTATATATGTCAACAAGCAACTTATTTATGTCGACACGCAACGTATTTATGTCAACATACAACTTATTTATGTCGATATGCAACTTATCTCCCGTGTCAACATAAATAAGTTGCATGTAAACAAAAATGAGTTGCATGACAATATGTTTGTCTCGCATGCCAACATAGATAATTTGCATGTCGACATGATTAACTTGCATGTCGACATGTTTCTCTTGCATGTCAACATAAATAACTTGCTTGTTAACATAAAAGTTGCACCTAGCCTTTGGAAGTCTATATTAGAAAAAATTCCAATTTTTTTGTCTTATCACATTTTTCTTGCATGACGACATAATATATAGAAAAATAACTTGCATATAGGGGCAGAAATATGTCACTATACTCCATTAATTGCAGACTATTAAATTTTAACTGTGATTTTTATATCAAATAAGGGGTCATATTCGGCCTTTACAATGCACTACAGTGTTGTTTAAAACGTCATCAACTCTACCAAATTCATTTTAAAGCTGTCAATGATATTTAATGTTTACAATCGAATGGTAGTACACACTTTTCCTCTGGTTGCAAGTGGGATCATAGCTCTCTTGTCAAACCCTTCAGTTTTGATGAGAGAGCTATTCCACAGACATCAATCAAGATTAAGAATCCCCATGCACATTGTATGGTTGAGGCTGAATATATACAAGTCAAAGATCAAATATATTAATTCTTGTTTTTAGAAGCAATATTCTCAAGCATGAATTAAATTTTGATTTTTATTATACTGAAAGTAAATTACATGTAATTTGTAAATTCATTTAGGAAATTCTTTCGTTTTTTGAAAAGTTCTCCAACAGGTTTGGCGTATTTCATCAGGTGTGTTAGCGAATGAAATTTCCAGCCGTGTATGAAAATCATGCTAATATTTATGGTTATAACGATAGTATGCTAATAATTCAAGTTTATTTTATGATTTTTCCCCAGATATCAACCAATCATCATTCAGAGACTATGGTTTTTATATGCATGTATACAAGCATACATTTGCAAAAAAAAAAAAATGCATTAAAATATGGAATAATGCAAAAAAAAATTCAATTAAAAAATTGTAGAGACTAAAAGTAGGTGCTTTCCCAGATGGGAATTTTTATCAGGGTTAAACCGCAAATTGACCTTATACAATGCGAGGAGTGTTTACATTATAAGTATCAGGTAATTTTTCCGTACTTATGCATGCATAGAAATAATTTTTATATAACAGGATACACTCTAATGAAAGAATTAAAAGGGAATTTTGTAAATAAAGTAGAGTAATGAGCAATAAAATTTAGGATCATATTGTGTAGCATTAATTTACTTTCGTTTTCCCGTTCCCGCCTATACCAGGTTTTATTTAAAGATTTACGTCATTTATCAATTAAGTAAATAATAAATACAATGATAGGCATTTGTTTAATTTACATTTGAGCGTTGTATTTAAAAAAAATCATCGGCAGCCAATTCTCTCTAAGCAGGAAAGTAACTCAAAATACACCAGACTCTATTACAGTTAGCTAGAGTTGGTTTAAAAAGATGACCTTTAGGTATATTTTTCAGAATGAGCTTGGAAGGTCGACTAAAATAGTGTTTTCATATTTGCAAATTAGACAATCTTGATGAAAAGGGTGTTTTACAATAGCTGATTGTAATCGTATGTCATTGTTTCTCTTCCAGAACCAAGATATTTATCTATATATATATATATATTTATATTTATATTTGTTTGAGAACCACCTAATATCTTGCTTTTATCTAACACTGCCACGCCAATCGACAAAAATCAAAAACCAAGATATCTAAACAATGCATCGATATTCCAAAATTAAACGCTGTCCCGCCTGAAATTGTTTCTAAGAAAATACACACTCGCTTTTGTAACAAAATTCCAAGAATTGAATTTCTTTCATAATTCGGTTGATTTATACACCTGTATCGACGTCTTTTTACGGCTTCAAAAATATCATTTTTGACGGAATCTGATGATCTTTTACATAAACTTTCGTATTTTGTAGTCTTCCAAAACTGCTTACGGAATCTTTATTGCAGTTTAATAGTTCTTATCGGCAGGAGAACACTGGTTTCACTTTATTTTTACTTAAAATCCTGGGCGACCTCCCCTCATATTTTAAGATACAATTTTAAAATTCTATGCCATATTATTATTTTTTTTTAATTTAAGAGCTTCTTCCCAGAGTTTAATTATCTGAATCAAAAAATCAATAGTAAAATGAAAAGTTTTCAAAAAATGTAAAGTTTATAATATCAATATTATATGTAAGAGAGTAGGATAGTTGAATCAATTATAACATAATCAATATTTTCAATATTTATAATATATTTATTATATATATAAATGTCACTGCAAAATTATACCGATTTGAATTCACCGCATGTTATTTCGTCACATTGAAAAAAATGAGTGTTCAATTGATACCAAAATATTGCTTAATTTTTTATTCAAACCGAATGATAATTTTATTTACCTTAAAAATTACATTACTACCCTTATACTACCTTATCTGTTTCTTTGTACATAATCGATCATATTTGTTGAAAATGAAAATGAAAAGTTTAAAAGCAGCATGAGCTGGCGTTTAAAATATACTTTAAATGTACATTTTATAGCTGATAGTTGTATTCTTGGTCTTAGAGCTTCAGCATGCAAATGCATTGTTTGCAAAAAGAAAACGACGAAGAATTAAGCCAGGCCGTCTATGAGAGCTATCAAACAAAAAGCTGTTTGCCTTTGTTGAAAGAGGAACTGAAGTGTAAAATTCAGTGCAGGAGATTGTCGAGAGGTGAAGGAGAATTGAAAGTACAATTCGAGGAACAGAAAGTGTATAAGGTAAAAAGCTTAAAAATGTAAAAGGTCTAGTATTCCTATATCATGCCCCCCAATATAACAATACTGAGGTGCATGTAATAGGGACCATGTCGGACATTTTACATATATATTTTGATGCATTTGGACTGATCAACTTAACAGCTTGATTTTCAGCAACTTCTAACACAATAAAAATCTAATGTGTAGAGCATAAGGACACTATTTTTAAAACATGAAAACTTGTTTTTCTTAGAAAAAAATGTCGAACGAACGACTACACATGTATTTAATGTGTTCTGTCTTTTTTCTTTTTCTTTCTTTCTTTCTTTTTTTTTTTTTTTTTGAAATCGCTCGTGTAAAGAAGGTTTGTTTATTCTTAGTTGACGGATGATGAGGTACAAAAACGAAACAGACGTCTCCTACAAAATCGACTATCAGCTTCAAAAAGACGAATTAAAGACAAAGAATACGAAGAATCTTTATTGGCGGTAATTCTTTATATATATATATATATATATATATATATATATATATATATATATATATATATATATATATATATAATTTGAGGTCAGAGAAGATTATGAAATTTTTGCTTTTCCTCTTGTCCATCTGAAATGAAAATGTCACGTGAATTTTAGATATTTTTATTGTATGATCGTTCACAATCTGTTATATTTATATTAAACGTGCACATTTTAATGCAACGGACATTACTGTTTTCTTCATATACCAAACACCTTTAATGTCATACTTATGTAAATAATTTCAACTTTGTATCGATTTTGTCAGCTTTTACTCACATAAATTTCATATATTATATTGAAAACATTGAAATCTAAAAAAAAAAAAAAAAAAAAAAAAAAAAAAAAAAAAAAAAAGAGAGAAACATATATTACTAATTTTTAGTTAAGATATCGGGGTCGTTAAGCAAACGGAGTTATTCATTTTTGTCTGCTCACTGAGGTCTGAAGCACATTGAAATTTAGAAAACTGTTCATTGTAAATTTTGAATTTGGATATATATAGGCATATCAATCTTTTTTGTTTTCAAAGTTGGTATACAAAACCTTAAGAGTTGATGTTTCTATCAGATTTTCAATATATACCTACTGCCGTTGATGAATTATGATGAAATATGTGTACTCTTGTCAAATAACTGTCGATAACTGTTCTCAGTCCTTACAGATTGTCAAATAATTGTTTTCATTTTGGACAATATGTTATATACCAGAGCTGTGATTTTTTTTTCCGATAAACGGATTATATATGAATGCCATATTTATATGTTACTGATATTAGATATTATACTTTTGATTATCGCTGAAAAACAAAGTGCATGCTCATCGAAATCAGGTTTTGCGTACATGTATGTACTTTATATTGGGAATATCAAATAAATTGGATTATGATTCACAATGGGGAAAAGGGTAAAGAAATTTAAAAAAAAAAAGCGAACTTGTCTGCGGTGGGTTTTCTTGGAATCAGACGTTTGTCTTTCAACTTAACTGCTGTCAAAATTGGTGCACTTTCTGTACGTTTAGTATAATGCAGATGCAGCGTTTAATTTGCTTGGCGTTAATTATATGTTATTTCATTGAGATTGGGAAAAATAGCATGTCGGAAGGACAAGCAGTGATCAATATGGATTTATTTTATATTATGTTTTTGTTTTAAAATTAAAGTTTCTTAGATCTAATACACACTTATAAGATTTTAAATATTGTCGTATTATTGATGAAATATGGGGATAACGAACAGTATTCAAGTTCATTAAAACAATACAAATTGATATTAAATTTAAATCGTTGTTACATTCAATTTCATTAATGTTGGACCTGAACATCTGACTGTAACAGCCTTGTTAAGTGTACAAAACACACAGATATTTATGTACAGAATGAGAGCTGTTTCAATCTGGTTTTTTCTTCCTTAATTAACAGAAGAACAAGTAGTCTAACTTAAGTTTTGCAAAAGTTTCGGCACTATTAGATTGTAATTGATAGAACGCAACCTGCTTCTTAACAAGCCAAAATTGCAAAAATTACATCATTTTTTCTCCAAGATTAGATTTGTTGATCAATGCAGTCTTTGTCTTTAGCGTAACTTTAATTTTAAATTGCTACGGTGTTGAAAACAAAATTGTTTGCAATGTCCATGTATATTTTCAGATGCCAATAAAGAAACCATAGAAGAAATGATAATGCATTTAGGCACTTTGATATTTATGCTGAGATTTTTTTTCTTTTTTTTTTTTTTGTGAATATTTTTTTCAGCGATTATACATGTATTAAAACAAAGGCAATACAAATTTAAAGAATATTTATAAATGAACCTTTTCTTTTAGAGAATCAAACGACTTGAAAAAGAAAATTTAAAGAAGGAGAAAGAAAAGAAACTTCTCGCCCATCAGAAATATGTTCTGTGCTGTATAATGTTGAAGCATAACTGCCGCCTAAAAGTAGGTTTAAGGCCGTCTACTAAGAAATTTGTATCTCTGCTGAAAAAGCCCAGTGCACAGGGTGTTTTAATAACCCAAGACTGACGCTAAACAAGAGGGGCAATTTATGTTTTATGAGCCTTGAATATGTTTAAAATAATCTTTTGGTAGTGCTTCAGTGATGATCAGAATGGCGTTATCTGGGAGAGATTATTTGCCCTGATATTTTTTTCATTGAATTATCATAGGCATTCGTGTGTAAGTCACGACTTCGAGGGAAAAAGATCATTTCTATAAATTATTTTCAAGGAAATTATACACATTTTATTCAGATTGACACTGAACAAGCCACGTGATTAATTTTTTGGATAGACATTTATTTGAGATTCGTATCACGTTTGCAATGTTTTGTAAATTATATGAAACAGTTTTTAAAATATCAATAGTATCGTGAATGATATTGGAAATCTTTTGAATTTGACCCATATACAATTTTAAAACTAATAAAAGGGGGAAAAAAATAATTTTCATGAAATGACATCGTTTATTAAAATGTCGAAATGTTAGAGATAAATGCAAATTTAACTAGAAATTGTATATTTGTTCATTTGATTTATGTTTAAATAGTTCAGCTTTATTTCTACTTTGTTGGACAAAATGATTTGCTTTTGCAATGTCAAATTTTGAAAAATTAAGTAAAATGTATTCAAGAATTTTGAAGATTTTTATTTTGGAATAAAGAGTGTCTTGTAGAAAGTCATCATATATTTACGTTTTATTAATTTATATTTTAAGCATACACTTGCAATATTTGGATCTGTTGGCATGACAAGTGTTGACTATCAAGAATTGAATTGAATCCCCCCCCCCTTTACTCTCCATAAATCGTGCGTTTTAAATTGCACTCTTGGACACGAGTTCAGGATATTCAAATAAATCACATATGAATACATTTATTTTTCAAAGAAGTAAGTGTATACAATAGTGCTTGAATATTAATATGTAAATGAAACTCTTATAAGTTTAAGATAGTAATTTATTTTTAAGGTTGAACCTGATTAGGCCAAAATAAAAAAATACCTTTGTTTCCCCTAACGCGACCGACCCACTTAAATCGCGCCGACTGAAAAAGTTTATATAATAATAAGATATTAATTCAAATTTTTTTTTATTGTTTATTAATTTTTTTTAAAAACACAATTTCATCAAAATCCATTTTTATCAGAACGTCTGCTTTTGTTCTACTCTGATGTTGGAAACAAAATGGCTCTTTGGAAACAAAATGGCTCTCACAACATGTGGTCAGGGAGGGCTACATAATGTAGTTCGAGTTATAAAAAAACGGCGACGTATCAGTCTTGTTATGTATATCTTTAACTTATTAGAATCCTACACTCTTGAAACATTTCGTTAATTTAATATACATGACTAGCTAAGTCTAAGGAGTGTTTCGATGGTATTTACAAATGTGTCTTCTTAAATTAACATACGTAGTAAGCATGGCAAAGCCTGTCTCATGAGCAGATGAGGGGCACAGCTTGTGTACATATCAATACATTTCACGGAATTTCATTTGTTTTGAGTGTCGATCTAATTATCAGTTCATGTATGATCCCATTTTTACTATCTGGGACCATAGGAGTTGTAATATGTCTTTGCATAATTATTTCATCCTGATAAATATAATTCAGACGTTGTTGCTTCATTCCTTTTATTCATAGGTTAAACTTCATGACTATACATATAACATTAGATATGGCATTTTAATCATTTTTAGATATGGTTTGGTTGAATTAAATATTGTTTAATATACAGAGGCACATGAACATAACTGTACATACACTCTTTCCAAATAGTTTTGAAATCTTATGCTTACGGTACGGCTTCCTGAGACGTCCAGTGTATTTTTCTTTAGTTAGGACCTTGAAAATAGGTTGTTTCCTTGCTTTCACATCCCTTTGAAAATGGTGGACCACACCATATGAACATTTGCCTGGTGGGGGGATCCAAATTTAGACTTCTACTTGGCGCTTATGACCATTGATCTGTAAGCCATCTTTTTCGTGCCAGCATCTACTGCGACACTGGATCTACGTTTTTACGGTCTCAATCGAATGACCGGTTTCCACATCCCACGTCGGAACCTGTGACTTAGTATAAGCTCCTAAATTATGTCGTTACTCCAAAACGAAACGCTCTAGAAGCATTGCGCCTTGAAAAATTACATTGCCTGTGTAAACCTGATGATGAAAATAGGTTGAATATTCGATTTCAATAGATTTACACTGGAGTGAGATATTTTACAAGTTCAGATGAATAATATTTGTGAATTAATATACCATACATGTTGCTTTTAAATTTCATTTGCATGACATTCGGCTTAAAAATTGGTTTCTTTTGTTCTTTCTTATTTATAAAGATATTATTTAATTTTTCAGAATGTATTTTCAAAACTGCTGTCAAAAAAAAATAATTTACCTACCTACCTACCCAACTTGAGATTTTAGGGTCGGGTTAGGGGAAACAAAGATATTTTTAATGGTGGCCTTATATTCTTTTCTTTTGCTAGAAAACATTATCAATAGATATTATACATTCCAAAGTAAAACAGAACATTGAAAGGCGATATAAGTATAAATCTTGGGTATTTTTATAATATGGGGAGCAAATGACATTGCATTTCTTTCTTTGAGGTTTGACGTATAGAATGATTCTTAACTTATTTTAATTTGTATCTTCTACTATTGAGCAAGTTTTTTTTATATTGCTTTTAAAAATTCTGTTGTTTTGATATGGTCTGAGAACTTAATTTTTATAATTGTGTTTATATATTCAAAAAGTTTATGATCGCTTGTTTACTTAGTAATATAATAATTTTTGTTATGTGGAAAAAACATGAACGCGTGAATATGTTAAAGACAACAAAGAAAGAGAAAATATTACAACTGTCTTCTATTTTAGACCAAAGATATAAAAGAGGAATGGTCTCTTTTACAACTTCTATAAAATATTTTGTGAAACTTGATTTATAAATACATAAACACAATTTAAAACATATACTTTTTATCATATCATCTAACCCCAGCATTTTCTTTTTATGATATTTGTGAAACTGTCTAAGAAACTGTGAAACGGTAATGCTCTTTGGTTACATGCATTAGCTTTTTCATTTGAAATGCTTTTTTGCATAAGATAAATGCCAATTTCAATTTTAAAAACAAAACTTTTACGTACGTTTTCCTACATTAATAACGCCAAGTGAGATTTAAGCAAAATTATTGTTATCATATATTCTAAACAACTGTCTCTGGCACTAAAACAATATCAAATTCAATTTAATATATCACAGATGAAGTTAATTTTCAAATAGAGGTACTTATACATCCTCTGATGCATGTCAAAATGGGATTTCGATGCATTGATGATGTAAGCAAACCTCATGATCAAGATACAATGTAAGATGTATAGTGATAAAAACTATTATTTTCATCATCACACGCCAATATCTCTACTTTCGCAGCATAGTGCAGTCGATAATGTTATCCAAAGGCAGTGCAATAAACAACATGCCGTTTTTACCTGTCTGCAAGAAGGCAGGCTTCTATCTCCCACGACTCGTATGTCGTTTCTTCATTCGTCCCCAAAAGCTTTCATTTTAAAAGCAATGTTCTACTCTGTTCAAGAGTTATTTTATTTAAAGATTTGAAATAAGTAGTTTTTACTACATTGTAATTGTAAAGATTTTCCTTGCATTGTTGTTCTATCTGATCACAGCACTCTTTACAGCTAGCAAGGTTCTAACAGATAGTGTGTTGCATGGTAGAAATTATAGCGATTTTAAATAGATGGTTTATTATTCTTTCTATATAAAAAAAATCAAATATTGCTTAAAATACATTAAATTTAGTTATTTTCATGTAATTCTTATCATTTAAAGACAAATGTTTGCAATTCCATTACAATAATAAATGTATTTCAAGTAATCATTGTTTTGATGATTTTCATATACTAGTATACTGAAGGATATTTTGAAATCAAATGGAACCCATATTTTTAAATATCTTTACTATTATAAAAACCGTAGAAGTTAATTAAAAAATTAATTAGGTTATCATTAGTTTTAAATGTAACAAGTTCCTACTTTCGTTTTATTGATGAAAAATGAAGACAATAATTGCATTCAATTCTCGTTGCGCTCTCTGCATATTTCAATCTACATGTATATCTTTTAACTGAAATGGTTCAAACTAGAACATCCTCTGTTGAACCAAATTAATCTTAATATATCAGCCCTAATTCTGACGTCTACTGAACCTCATTTCAAATTACCTTCCCTCCTGCCTGTTGATTCAAAAGTTTTTTGATTTACTTTTTTTTTAAATGTGGAAAAGATTAAAAATATTATTTTTCATCACAGTATCATTTAACATAGCTATTTATGATTGCTTTACATGCTTTTTAATCGCACGTTTAGGTGATATTACAGGGAAAATGATAGGTGGGACTCGCCCTTGTCAAGCTATGCAAACAATTTCATTCATCAATTGAATGCATTGCATGAAGTTCTATCCCCCACCTGTTTTTCCCTTAAAATGTATAAATACATATACACGTTGTAAGGGGTTTGCTCAATTCGTTATCAATATCGGTAAAAACGGATTTCGATTATCACGTAATAAAACCAACGAGTGAACGATAAGGTTGCTAAAATTTGATCTCATATGAAGTACAAAGAATTCTTGAAATTTTCAACACACCTGAAAAGAGATTTTGTTCTGCCCTTCACAATTCAGGTTTATCATAAATATCTGTGGATAAACAATGCTAATTTTATTGCCCACGCCTTTTTCCAATACATCAGATAGCAGAAAAGTCACCTTCAGTGTATTTTAACTTCTTTTTATCAGAGATTACTGTGAAATCACTAATTTTGGTGGGGGGTTAATTTTCGTTGTTTGGCGTGGTATGAAGAGCCCTACGAATTCATGTCCTCCACGAAATGTTGAAATTTCAAACTACAGTATTTTTGTCTTTTTCTTGAAACACGAAATCAAATCTCAGCGAACCAATATTATTCTCCAAACCACGAAATTTGACCCAACGAAAATAAATGATTTTTCAGTATACCGTTTACATTCCTGTAATTTTATTTTTCGTACGATCTATTTTTAAATGCATATTCACCATTGTTCTCCTTTTAAATTTTTTTTTAAAATTCTTTGTTGGAACGATTCTTTTTTTTTTTCAATAAGTGCTGCATTTCTTCTTGGATTATTATACAATATATAAGAATATAATCGCAACAAACAAGAAAAACAAGAATTTATTGAACAAATATCAGAATAAATCATTGATCAGATATAACAACGTTGAATATTCCTTTATGGAATCTACGTGTCTTTTATACAAAAACTTACATCGTGCTTTAGAACAAGATGTAGGTGGTCTTGGCAGAAGCGATTTAGTTTGTTTGATAAAATTCCTCTATGTTTAAAAGAGGCTGTTCATTCAAAGATCTTCTAAGAATGTTTCTGGTATAGGCGTGGTAAAGGGTGACGTTGCCCCTTCGAAATCTTTACTGCTCTTCGGCTGTGCAACCGTTTTTAAAAGGGAGTTGTGCATTGTACGATAAAAATATCAAAGAGAGGGTCACAATAGGGCGAGTTGCACAGGCCAGTTACACAGACAATTAATTTTCAACTGTTTTGACGCCCATCAAAGATCCGAATTCTTCGGCGAATGCAGATGCATGACTGTTAACATGTTCCTGATTAAGAGAGATAATTGCAAATGCATTCAGCAAAATCCGACTTAGGTGCTATTTTAAGACTTTGACATTCTTACTTATCAAGTCAGTTTTGTAGCATCATCGATAAATTTGGAAATGCACTGGTACTTCAGGTTTTATGTTCGTTATCCGTGCAAATGTACACGATAACAAAAAAAACGACGACTACCTGCGTCCAAATCCCTTTCCTCCCTTGTACCAAAAAGTATTCTGAATACTTTGGCGAAAAAAGTTGCTATAGAAGGAACGGATTGTGTCGTTCTCCTACTATCCCCAAGAATTCTCTGTTTGTTATCGACATCCACATTCCGTTACAACCATGCCATCGTACTTAGGTTTATAAGTCAAAACACCTGACTCGTCAAAATACAGAATGGATATGGAGTCTAACTTTGTTGGAACACAGCAGCTTTCTCGTGGGTACTTCTTCGGCATTGTTAGATGGAGCCGCGACTGGATGATAGCGTGTTTGGATGGAGATAGACGCTCATTTACAGGAAAATGACATTTACCGACACACTCATATGCCTGCAAATAAGAATGTTGAATATTATTAATTAAAAATTAACACACAAAAAATCAAATTGTATTCAGAATTTTCTTTTATTCTTCAATTTGATCATAGTGGTTAGGCCTTCATGAAATTTCTTGTTAAATAGGTGGTTTCTTTCGAAGACTGTTTTACCGTTTGGTGAGATATCCTTTCTACAAAACATCTATTTACCATTTTCATACGTTTTGTGGTCTGATGCAGTTATTCATTTGGCTTTCTTTATGGAAGCCTTTATTTGTTTCAAGAAACAGTGTCATTTCTTTGGTGGTACGTGCCGAATATCAGATGGGGAAACATTGTTATCTAGATAATGTTTAGAATGTTATAGTTCTGACGTAATAAAATTTGTATTTCTTTAATTGCTGTAAAACATCTCTTGTCATCCGCCACTTATAAATGACTTTTTGCTATTCCGCTTATAAAAATCGTGAATGGGTTAACATGTGGGTTTCTTTTTATCATTATTTCTAAAAGAAGAGGTTTAACTTCTCATGCCACTTTTTAAAATTCATTTTGAGTTTAATTTGCATGAAGAGATTACATCCAAATTTTTAGGGTACAAACCTATTCAAAACTAATTTAATCTCGAACTTTTGTCAATAAACTTAAATTTACCTAAAATGTTCCTCTAAAACCCTATAAAACTGTGATTTATAATAATCATATCAAAAATATTTTGTTTCCTTGACACATGTTTAAAAAATTGGATTTTGACCGAATTAACAACTTCTATGTAAAAAATAAACGTAAGGCGTTTGCCTTGTATCTTCAAACTGTCCGTATTAAAGCAATGGGTCATTGAAATGAAAGTATAGTTTGTTATCTTAATGTTCATTAAGATACAATTGCACTTGAAAACGACAATTGAAGAGGATTGAAGAGGGCAAAAAGCTGATTAAGCGTTGTTTTTATCGGAAGAAAGCAAAAAAAAGTTTTTAAAGTGCATTGTAAAAAAGGTTATTCCTATGTGATCTCAATGCAAAAACAGTTCTTATTTTTTAATGTTAACAAACGTTTAAGGTTAATTTTTCTCTCTGGAAGTATCAAACTTCGAGGTGGAGATTAATATCTTGCATTTATAACACTTTTTGATCAGTCGACGAGATAGAATAAAGAGGTTATCTAGCTTACAAATGATATTTATTGACATTGTGGAATGTATTCGTTTTCCTGAAGAAATAGATTTATGACGTCATTTGAAAAATGATACTCACAAAGAGTTTCAACAGAGAAACTGATCAGTTTTGTGTAAAATGATATAAATAATTAAATAATGTTATCAGACAAGTAGTTTAAACAAAAATGATATTAATACAATTATAATCGATAAATTTTTGTCTATTTTTGTCTTCATTACACATCCTGCTGAAACTTTTTTAATGGAATATATATATATATATATATATATATATATATATATATATATATATATATATATATATATATATATATATATATATATATATATATAATGAAAAAACAAGCATAATGAAATAAATGTGTACATATGTACTGTTTATAACATACGTCTCCAAGTATTATTGCAATGCCATTCTCTTTCAATATTTCAAATGAATATTTCTCGCTTCATATTAGAGAGTAAATGCAGCAAAAACAGCTAAATCATACATGTATTTTTTTGTGCTGACAGATGTTTTCCTGATGTAATACAATTTGAAGCTGAAACGTTGCTTCCATCAACATACAAAAAGCATTTTATATTTCTAGAATGATATAGGGAGACAAAAACTTTTATAAGAATTTTTTTTCTAAAACATGAAATATGAAGATATCGAACAGTAATCAAGCTCAAAAGTCCTATGAAACTATAAAAATTTGGAGCAGAGCAAACATGGTCCTCTGAAAGCATCAGAGGTGGGATCAGATGCCATGGAGGAGTTTGCATCACCTGTCGACCGGTCACACCCGCCGTGTGCTCACTGTCACCATGATCGGAAACGGAAATATCCGTATACAATTCAGTGTGAAAATAATGATCTAACAATTTGTATGAAAAATGTCAGTCAACATTCGACTTATGATAGATTGTATTTGCCGACAAGGTCATTGTATCAACCACAAAATTTGAGAAATGTTGCCTTTAGACGGTACTGTTGATTTTTTGTTTCATCAACTTATTTGTCAATTGTATGCATCGTTTAAGAAATTGTTTGTTCGTTTAGCATGCTCTTGCGTATCGAATCAACTTGGAGACATAAACCGCCTATGCAGGTGATAAGGGTATATTGCTACATAAGTAAGGGAAGTTGACGATAGAAAAGTTGAAGTCATTACGTTTATCATAAAGTTTTGTTGTTAGCTTACCATTAACTTTTGTTTTTAGAAAAATATCCAAATATGAAACAGATGTGTCAGATTCTGTGGTATCTTTTATTTCGAGTTTAAAGGGATATATCGAATCATCGTATGGATGAAAATGAATATTAATATTGTTAATAGATAAAACGTCGTTGATATATCTAAAAGTTGAATTGAAGCCCACAGCAAGAGACTTCTTTTCATGTAGCAGTTTTTGAATAGATTCTACTTCATATGAATACAAAATTAGGTCTGTTAATTACGGGGCGCAATTATTACCCATGGGAATTCCGACAGATTGTTGAAAGACTAGATCTCCAAAAACTACATCAAGCATCTTTTTATTATCGAATTCTGAGTACCTGTGTGTACAATCATAATGTTTTTTTAACAAATAATTTTGCAAATGACCAATGACAAGGTGAGTAAATTTACGAGTTCCATTTTAATTGCAGGTGTCAAAAAGCCTTGACTTTAATTTATCTTGGGGAATGATTGTATAAAGTGTTGAAAAGTCGTACGTTTTGATTTTATTGATATTGGTAAAATTTTGTGATTTCCAATTTTCTAAAATTTCCTTGGAATTTTAATGAATGACAATTATTATTTTAAGATCAGAAGCTCGCAAACGTAGTAACTAAGTACTTAAATAGCACAATTTAGCGATAAACTAAGCTTTTTAAAATTCAATATTTAAAAAGACACACAGCAACTTTTTTAAGGGGAACAATATAGAACATGATTGAAATATTTACTGCTGAAGTATGAATTGATTAAAATGTAAATTATTTTGATATGTATGTATAAGTAACATATCCTATCCTCATGTACAACTTTATTTTAGCTTCAAATACAAGGCAAATATAAATATAGGAGAAAAAAACACTGAATACATATCTTTTTAAATTTTGAACAAAATAACTAACCTTTTGAATAGAAAAGGATTTGTTCATTAATTTTCCATGATTACATCATTCAGCACTACGAGTATATTGTTATCTTCCACTGCTTTAATGCATTTTGATTTGTTTAAGATATGTGTTCTTATTCTGTCAAAATGTTTATTTTTTGCTCTTTTTAATTATTTTATGCAGTCTGGTGTTTAAATTGGGCAGAATAGGGATATTCATGGTGAAACACGCTCAAAGTTCTGGTAAAAATGCTTATCTGTTATATGTGAGTTGAATGATTTTATTTGGAGAAGAAATTACCCTTTGTTAAATTATCTTCAATTTTAACATCTAACCGCCACGATATGAAGCAGGTTAATAGCTAATAGATAGAGCATATCGTTGGCTCTATAACATGGATAGTTTCAATCCGTTTAGAAATTTGACTCTGAAATGATTTTTCTGATTATTTTATGACATCAATTTAGCCTTTAAACGATTAACTTTAACATACTTCATAAGAAGCTGGAGCTAATATCCAAGTGTCCCACTGGATATCTGCAAAGTTGACCGTCATTGGTTTCCTCCTACACATGCTCCGTCGTCCCCTTCTTTTCACTCGATTGTGAAATTCGTATTCACTTGAGTTAGTGTTACTAGAATTATCTATATTTCCTGACAAAGATAATGGAGATTGAAAATTGTATGCATTGTCTTCACGAGCAATTAACTCATGTCTCTCAGTCTTATGTAGTTGTATTTTTTGTTTGTCAGTAGAAAATACCACTAATAAAGGTTCATTTTTATGTTGTGGTGTTGTAAAAACATCTAAATCACCACTTGCAACACTATGAAAGACACTTTCTATTCTTATTTCTAAAATCTGAATGGAACTTGGTTTGGTCACCCAACGCCTCACAGCGGAAGTGACGTCAAATGTTTCCCATCCACTGTCTCTTCCATATATGTGTTGTGTGTCTATAAGGTGATATCCGACATTATCGTCTGTGACTTCATAGACCGACACTTTTCTGTCGACCCCTATGTACATATATCTGTCTCTCTCCACAAGGGTAAATAATCTCAGCTCAGCTAAGTCGACTTGTTCTTCCACTGAAATACTGGTGATATTGAACACCATTGTATGTAGTCTAGTTGTCTTTTCACCGTTGGAAGCAGGAGTTGTTGTCACACCTATTATATATAAAGCATGAATAAATAAATAAAATAACTTCTTAGCTTCTTAATGTATTTGATGCTATCGATATATTCGATATATGCTATCAAGTAACAACAAAATTAGATTGTTTTTTGATTATAGTTTGGCAGTTTCTGTTTATCTTTTATACATTTTATTTTAATTTGGATTCGTACAAAGATCATATAAACTTTTCCATCATATAGAAAAGAAACGTTAAGAATAAGAGAAATAATATTTCGGTTGAAAAGTGCCAATTTTGGGGGGCGAGACTAGACCAAGGATGTTAACCAAAGTGATAAACTTAAAAGCCCAGACAGAACAGATGTAGAAGGAGGACGAAACTAAGAGGACATACTGAACCCCTCCCATCTCTTTTATTTCACTTAGCATGAAAATAAACTTAAGATTCATAATGTGGAAAATTGAATAAATGCGGTAAGTAAGAAACATTAATCTTCAACATCATTTCTCCAAGACAATAAGCAAATGGTCCATCAACTCTCTTCCTTTCTCAATACAATTCAAAATGCAAAGATCTTTATGGTTGAAAACCACTTCAAATAAGAAAATGGTGTAAACATTTTAATGATGCAATGAATTCTGCAATTAACCATCGTTCGATGCATTATCTTAGCTTCGTTACACCAAATGCAATCACTGCACATACTCAAGAGCATTTGAGAGCACTTAATAGCTTATCTAGGGAGTCTATTTTCAAGGCATGTTTTACGATACACGAACAACCTGGCTCATTACATAATTGTCATGAATCAAGTATTCCACCAGATAACCGAATGTTATAGAGGTAAACACTTTCCAGTGTAACTTATTTTATGAATGAACAGGGAAAAAGACTTGAGAATTTCTCGTTGCAACTAATTGCCGACAATAACGAAACAAAACCGTACATTTTATATTACTTAAAAAGTAAGTTAATTATGTCAAATTCAAGCATATTAACGAATTCTTCATTTATCTTTCTCATTTAAATACATTTTCTATAAGTATGTAGACGATTGTGATTGAAATGATGTTTTAAAAAGTGATATGTAATATTTGAAATTGAAGTACATTTGTTTTCCCCAATATTAAAGAACTTTCAGTAATCAAAGAGTATACATGGCATATTGAATTAGTCACACACTCACAGACAATTGAAAATTAGCAATTGATGAAAAAAAATATTTACTGTAAAGAATTTTTAAACTATGATTTAAGTAAATGATTTTGAGATCTTCTTTGTATAAAAATAGATGCATTCAATACATTCAACCCGTAATGTGAACTTTTCACTTTTGCATTGTAAGTTATTTGTTAATCTTTTTTCCCAGCTTGAGTACTTTGGATACAGGTCACACCTAGAGTTTTATTTCAGTTCGTTCCAGATAACTTAACACCGATTGTCCGAGAAACATCAAAGGTTCGGAAAAAACAAGGTGGTAATAAGTATGAGATCAATTTCCGCACTTGACAGTAGATAGATATTGGAAAATAATGGACACATGCCGAATGCAGAATCTTTGAAGGCTAAAAATATGATAACATTATAAAAAGCAAGGTTGAGTACAGGCTTTAAATGCTATAGTTATTATCAGTTCTCTTAGTTTTATGAATAGCCAATATGTAAAGAAATTATATAGCTTTATAATTATGGACATCTTTCTTATTTTAAGAGGCTTAATTCAGTTTGGATAATATCTAAGACTGATCAAATCATAAACAAGGCATATAAATCCATACAATCAGATTTAAATTATTGTAGTATCAAAATGGTAATAAAAAATTCTCAAATTAATAATGTTGGCATTGGTATTTTCTGTAGCTTGTTCAACTTCGAAGAAACAAAAGCTGCAGTTAGAGTATATGAAACATCAAACCTTAACTATACAAAATAAGCCATGTACTTATCTTTTTTGATGCGGTAATTTTATCTATTAGCTTGTGTCGTATACCATGGTAAATATGCATTTCGTATCTCTAGACATGGATTTCAGCAAGTTTTATTTTGTGTTCCATTTCAAAAATATCTAGTTTTTGATCTACTCAACTCGTAAAAATATCACGATATAATCTTTAACGTAAAATCATCTTTTGCTTAGATACTGGAAACACGTCCTACATAGTACTCATCTTTTTTATCTTAACACAACCAAGCTGATAATGATTTTCTAATGATGGATCATTTTGTACGGGGTTAAAAACATTTTTAAAATTCTATTTTACAAAAAAAAAATCCACTCCTTTCATTAGAATGGATAAAATTAAGAATAATGAAAATCAAGAGATCACTCACCTCCAATATTAATATTTGTGAAGCTTCGGACAATGTCAGATGATGGACGTGAGGCCTTTTTTTCTGAATAGGTTTTGTAAAGGTCCATCATATATTCAGGAGCATATTTTGGCGAATCTCGCAGAAGCTGAATATTATTCCTGACACTAGACGATACTGGCAAATCAGGTGGCAGAAGGCTTTTCTGCAAAAGTTCATTTCTGCTCTCCAGTATTTCAAGTTCTAAATCATTATAATAATCATCGTAATCGTTATCTAAGAACTCTCTCTTGGATCTTTGAAGAGTGGCCATAATATCAATTTTCGAAGTAGAGTTCGATGTGGGTCTACCAAATATTGTCCTCATATATGAAGTGAATAAGAGCGCATAAAATGCTACGAGAATCTTCATCCTCAGTATACAAGATTCGGAGGTCTCGGCATACAAGAACTGCAATGGTTCTTCTCTTCCAGTCATGGAATGTCATAAGTGTTCAATGATATATATTGAACACCCTTAAATACAATCGTGTGAGTTTCCAGGCAGTTCAGTTCTCAATGAAATGCAACAACCACGCCAGATTTCTCCTTACGTCTCTGTCTGTTTCGGACGTAACACGTTCTGGTATTTCTCTATCCATTTTTATCATTGGAACCAAAAAAATATCCGGCGCAATTGTGAGTCTGGGGGAGACAACGCGACTTGTTAACTACCTGATAAAGAATACGTATTTGGGTTAGGTTGTTTTCCCCTTTATTTTTATTTTTTACGTTAGCATGTGGCATGGGGTTACGCCCCTTTCTTGAAATATATGACTTCCTATACGATATAACGGATGAGAAAATCTATATCTATTTTCATAATATACCTCAACGCATAATTTGGCACGTATGAAATCCTCATAGTATTGGCGGAAAAGTGGCAAATCTTTCGCCCACAATTGGATGCAACAAGCCTATCTGCACATCCTCCGTGAAATCTGACCAAAGGTTCACCCTTTTACATATAATATCCCGGTATCATAAAAGCCTGCAATTAAAAAAATATGATCTTCTTCACTTTAAAAATTCTTCATACACCCTGCTTCCAGTGATTCATAAAACTTCGAAGAAAAATGATACAGGCATGCAGAAAATTAAATTATAAATAAGTGTGGTGTTTGAAACTTAAAGTTCACGACAGTTCTATCAATCAGTAAAAAAAAGCGCACGAAATTTCACTCTCGGCGTGATTGTGAGATAATAATGTCTTGTTCATTCATTCCTATACAGTAATCCTACCATGTGTGTTAAGCTATATCCTAAACAATTGATAATAAAACTCTTTAGGTCTGTATAGCATCAAATCTTACTGAAATAATGAAATCATAAAATACCCCCGTATAAAAAGGACAAAGGGTTAACGTTCGAAACTATGTTCCTTCGCACTGGTTTAAGAATCAAGCCCCCATATGTACCATTCTCTCAAAGTCTATAAAATCTTTACCTTCGTATAAAAAACACAGATGCAATCTCCAATCATATCTACTGATAACTGCTCTTAACAACTTTAAATAAAAGAAACAACGGTCTTTATCTTTTTTATTTGTTTCTTGTTTCCCAACATTGTCTTAATGCATTTTTATAGGTTTGGAATTGGAAATTTTTGCCAGATCAAAATTCTTGTATTCTTGTGATATTGTAAATTCCTTGCTAAAATGGTTTCTTTTTTAATGATATGATCTGACTTCAGTGAATACGTGGACTTCTTAAGATATTTTTATTCACACTTAAACTGATTTTTAAAAGAAGTTCCAGGGAATGCATGTGTGTTCTTAGATTTTGCCAGCAGTCAAACAACGGTACAGAATAGGGGAAATGGGCCTTCATTATGCATGTATAATAAATGATTTATCTTCTTTAGAACTGTTCTGTAATACAGGAGATATTAAATTATTCCTGATTAAGAATTATAAATTTTGATTTTTGAAGGATACACTTGATGTTATATTTAAGTAAAGGCGAACAGGTTTGTTTACTTCGACTAAAATTCAAGGCCGAAAGCAAAAACAATTGCTTATATATAATGTTCAGAAAGAACTTGCTGTAGATGTTATTTCAAAATACATGTAAAAACATGGTAAATTGAGAAAAATTAAAGGAAAAAATCTTTATCAGCATACTTATAATGTGTCTGAATATCAAGCTTTAACAACAAGCATTCTGAGAGTATTGCATTAGCAATACTAGTCCCCTACCGGCAAGTGTAATCTGGTTCCCGTTAAGAATTGAAAATGTCATAATTCCGTCAAAAATTAATGAAGTGGGACGAAATGCAAACTTGATCTATAACTAATCAAGGTAAAGCCACATACCAAAAATCAGCTCAATATCTACAAGCGTTTTGAAGAAAATTGCGGAAAACCCTAAAAAATTGAAAAGGCCGTAATTCCGTCAAAAATCAATGAAGCGGAACGAAATGCAAACTTGATCTGTAACTCATCAAGATACACTCACATACCAAAAATCAGCTCAATATCTGCAAGCGTTTAAGAAAAAAGTTCGGAAAACCAAGTGGGACAGACTGACAGAGGGACAGACAGACAGCTAGACAGATGGACAGACAGACAGACAGACAGCTAGACAGACGGACAGACAGACAGACGGACGGACAGGCTCAGAGGAATCCTATAGTCCCCTCCGGTTTCACCGGTAGGGGACTAATAACGAATAACTTCTCTATAACATGTTACTTTTCTCTTTATCTCATCTTTCTTAATCAGAATCCACCATTACTCGTGTTTTACTTTCATTCCTCTAAACCAAAGAAGCGCTAAGGTGTACTACTCTGATACGTCTCTGACACACCTACAAATGTATTGTCTTTTTCGACCGTGAGAAATATAGAAAATAGGTATTTCTGCATATACACAATACCTTTTAAAAAATATAATTTTTATTAATGTCCGTAACCTCATGGCCTTGAATGTGACCTTTAACTTTCATTAAAACAAATCAGCTTTCCATAACTTTGATATTAGGTTTATAAATTTTATTTTAGCATATTGCTTGTCAAAAGACTATGTATAACCTTAGTAACCAGATTTCTTTACTTGTAATGCAGAAGTTGGCCTTTGATGCTTTGATGTACTTAAGAGTGTACAACATCTTTTAAACCGTTAGAGATGTGTCTTTGCTGTTAGCATGTATTTTTTTTCTTGTCGCTTAACCTTCAAAAGTCAAAGATGTTCTTTGCTTGTCACCAACATCACTTATTATTAACATTTGTCAATATCTTATCAATGAAAATCATACCATTAAAAACTAAATCGTGATTATACGTTTATAACCGAATGACATCTTGCGTGACCTAAATTATTGGCTAATGTCTCGAAAAGAAAAAAAAAAAGATAGAGGCTAGTATTTAAGTATTTGTGAAAAATTGAACCAAATATCATTCACAACTATTAAAATTTCTTTTTAAAAATAATTTAATGATTCTTATCAGAAAAATGATTTCCTAGCAAAACTCCTAGGTATTTCAAACATTTAACATTATTTCTCGTGGTTCCATGATCTACTTACATTCCAATCCACGCGACCACAAATAATCACTCATTTCCAGGCATGCAATATGAAAACCAAAGATACTTATTTAATTTCATAACTCCGTGAATTTAAAATAAGTCTACATTTTAATCTCAGACAATTATATCATTCTAGACTATTTTTAAGAAGGCGTGAAGCATATCAAGCTGTGGTGCATGTCCTTGTATTACGCAAACGTTAAGAATGAGAGCAGTTTTTGAAACATATTAAACAGTTATTTTAATAGAATAAAAAATACTTCTAGTTCCCTAGTTTTCATATCTATCTATATTTTTTTATGATTTGTATGCATGAAATAATTTGTAGTTTTGATATCGGCTTATATTTGCCTTTGATATAGAATTAGCTCAATGCTTTCCAATAGAGAAGTGATTATTTGCAATTTACTTTATTTCGGATACTAGTATGTGATAGATAAAAAAAAATTTTGATATTTTCCTTTAGGTCAGATTGTTATATATCATTTCAAAGAGGAATGTGCACAAGGAGCAGGCAACAAGAGGCTTAACTTCTTTTTTAAAATATGGTCGAGAGAATAATCGTTCGATTGATAAAATAAATAAATAAATAATAAAATAATGAATTTAAAAAAGTGTGATTATCTAATGATAAAAATATTTCCAACAGCATTATAATTATCTGATACTGTAGATTCCTAAAATATACACGAGGAATTAATTATCGCGGAAGTTCGCGAGAAGCACTACTCGCGAAATAAAATTACACGCTTTTATTTTTATGGTGCTGAAATCAATGTAAAATCTCTTGATCAACCGTCCACTTGCGAGTTATTGTTCTCGCGATTTGACGTTAAAGAGCCATTTCGCGATAACAAGTACTCGCGAAAAATAAGGAATCTACGGTATTCCGACAGAGGCACGTGAACACATTGTTCTCCTATACTAGCCGACCTGTTTTTGTATTCCTATGAAAGCAGAGATATTCAAAAACTTCTACATGAGAAAAAAAAATTGCTATGTCCTTCGACGATTCGACATTTAGATTGTCGTCGACGTTTTCTTCACTTTTTTATGTAGACTCAATTTATCCAAGTGAACTCGAGAAAAAAGTCACCAGAATATTTACCTCTTTTACCTCTCATGATTGGATTTCCCGAATTTTGACGTTATATGGAAAATTATCAACTTACTGTATAAAAAACGGGATGACTTCAGCTTTTCAATCGTCATTTTCCTTTATTTATGTAGTGATATTCCATTATCACGTGCATATGGTATTTATGTCCCCCAACTAATTCAGTATGCAAGAACATATTCTGAGTACGATCAATTTTGAAACCGAGGAAAAGCTACTGACAAATAAGTTGATGTCACAAGGATTTCAACAACCCCTTTTAAAGTCAGCTTTTCGCAAATTCTAAGGTCATTTTAATGGCCTTGTTTGTAAATACATCCTAATCATTGGGTCGTATTTTGTCTGACATATAGCCTGACCATAGCAAGCCTTAGATTTACTGCATGTCAAAATTATCGATTTCTACAGCCTTAAATACTTATCTGAACTCTGTGTGCACTGATTCCTGTCGCATGTGAACTGACTGAATACATTGCAGGGGGATCGCTTTTGAATTTCTTTTTGTCACTTTTTGAATTTCTTTTTGTCACTTTTAAATTTCTTTTCGTCAATTTTGAAAAAAAAGAATAAATAGCAGAACTTAGCTCTAGGATTGCGTACAATTATATAATTATGCATGATTCATAAAACGTACTAAAAATGTTATACTTCCTCTTTCTGGCAAAGATATGAATTCGCAAAAATTAGAAACGTAAAAATTACGTAGATTTTGCCCCCAATTCACAAAAAAATAAAACAACTTTAAAATTTCCAAATTTACGGGGTTTTTTTTAGACGAACGGTGTTGTCATGGTTTCTAAAAATACTTCTCAAATTTCTCAAATGGTTTCTAAAAATAATACTAAAAACTTCGTTCTTTAAAAATTATAATTACAATTAGTTACATAATTCTGAATATCCCTTTTGATTTAGATGTCTTTGGTATGGTTACTAAAAATAGAAATTGTCATATTTCTTTTCAAAACATTACTCAATTATATTTTGATTTCCATGAGAAAGCGGCTTTGCCTATGGAAATAGACTCTTTTTGGGAACCGGAATCTTACTGATGCCCTCGATGATACACTTTATAAGTATCATACTGTCTCTCTTTCACTTTGCACTCTATATCCTACTCCTTTCCCAACTCTTTCCTCTCTCTCTCCTTCCTAACCCCCTCTCAACTTTCTCCCTCTCAACTATTATTCCTTTCTCATTCTACCCACTCTCCTCTTACCCAAATTCCCCTCCTTTCTGCTCCTTTCACTCTTCTCTCCCTCACGAGTGTTACTACTCTCATATCTCTCTTTCTCTCTCCCCATGTCATAACTGCA